AATCTTTTGTTCCAACAATGGATCCATACTCATTAAGGTAAGATTAATGTTGAGAAAAATAATAATAATTATTGAGAACTTTTAGTGTTAAATTTGTATTTTAATAAGGCGTTTATTGCATAAGATTTTATACTAAGTAGTTATTATGTCATTCACGTGTCTATGTAGATAACATTGTATGCAATTTAAAATAAGAAATACCATTGATAAATTAAAAAAAAAAACATATATGTAATTATATCAAAATATTTTTTCACTATTTTTCTATTTGGAGGTTATTTTTGCTTTATTATATGGTACTGAAATTACTAGACACCTGACTATTCTGATAATTGTCCTTAAAAAAAACAAAATGTTATGAAAAATGTTTTTTTTTTTTTTTATTTCATAGTTAGAATTAAAAAAAAAATATGAATGCAATTTTTTGCTAATAATATCAATTTGTTAAAAAAATTAATAAATACTCCGAAATTTGCGGATTTCAGTACAGTAAATTTTATTTTCAAAAAGATTTACTGTGTACATAAATTTGTATTTTTTAAAAATCGGAAAAAAAAATCATAAGGTTATGTAAATTTAGAGTAACGCGAAAAAATGTATTTTTTCACGAGTCCCCTATGAAAGTATGCTAGTTTATCATGTTTTGAGAGCCATTCCTATAAATCAGCTTAATCAAAAGAAATTTCTATGGATCGCTCAAGATTTTCAATGATAATAAAATTAAGTCATTTAATAATTAAAAAAATTTTTTTAACAAATAAATTTTGAGAAGATAATTAATAAAAAAAATCCACCTGCATAATTTATAAAAAATGTTAATATATTTTTTTAAATATAATAAGATAAAAATCCCAGGTATACACACTGGCCTAGTTGTTTGACAATTGCAATTTTATTCTAATTGAAAAAATGTTCTCAAAAAACCAATTATCTTAAAATTTATAATTCAAAAATTATATTTATTAATTTATTAGAGTGGATTTTTTTTTATTTTTAATTGAAATAAAATTGCAAGTGTCAATAACTGAGTCTTTTACCTTATCCAAAAACTAATTAATTTGTTAAACAAAATCTAAAAATAGTCATATCTGCTGATTTCAGTGTTGTGATTTTCTAATATTTCCAGAACCGTAAAAAATCAAATTTTTGTTAATTTGTAATTATATTATTTTTTTTTTGTAACTACATTATTTTTTACGTTGTAAATAATACTTATTCTGAAAATTTGAAGTTTATGTTTTAGTGATGGCTCTAAATTTGTTTAAATGTCAAAGTAGTAAATTTGAAGTATTTTCAAGTGGCCTAAATTTAGAATAGCTTCTCAATTGAATAAAATAACTGGTAAAAATTCTAAAATAATTAAAAAATAAGAAATTATCATTGTCCTTTTCTGTCTTTTATTTGTTTCATGCTTTTTTTCTAATCTTTATAATATATATCAACCTGAAAGAAAGAAATTGAGCATTATTCTTTGATATTCATGCTCACAGGTCACACAAGAATCTCTAAGGTACCCTACTTTGATGTTTAAAAAATCTTGAGCTACTCCTAGAAATCAAAATACTAACTTAAAATTTTCTCAGTATATATAATTATTAAGATATAAAATATTTGAATAAAAGAAAAATTTTAAACAAAAAAAAAATTTAATCTTTAACGATTTTGAAAATTTCTAACTCCAAAAAATTTTTCAACTAAGCAAAAAAATAAAGTTGGTTTTTATTGCGTAATTCTAGTATAAATGTATCTTATATAGTATGGTGATAATTTATTGCAAAAAATATGTAATTGATAACTTATTCAATTTACTTTACTCATATTTATTTATTAAACGCTTTGTGTAATTGGTATAAATTTATTCGTATTAAATATCAGTGTAAGTAGATTCACTTGTTGTAATTTAATCTTACCTGATATTTAAATAATTCAAGAACTTAATGTAAATTTAATTACAGTTTAAGTGCAATTATATTGTACTTACTGTTCAAATAATAGATTTTGGAGAAATTGCCAAAAAATTAATCTAACTTTAGTACTTGTTGAATATCTTTGGAACTACTTTGTGTAGAAGATCAAATGATTTAAATTTAATTTAAGAAAAGTAACAAGACAATTGATGAATAAACATAAGATAAAGTTATTAATACTTCTTGATTGGATAGCATAAATAATATTGTTTGTGTACGCCTTCGATTAAGAAAAAATTTACAAATGAAAATGAAATAAAATAGGTGACTCATCAGATCAGCGATAATATGATAAGAATTTAATTATATATTTTCGTAATATATGTAATATAAGGAATTTATCATTACTTTTTTTTTGTTGACACAATAATGCACAATTTTATTGTCATTCTATTGTATGTCATTTGACTCACATATAAATTTTTAAATCGTGAATCGATGATAAGTCACGATCTACATAAATAAAAATGTGAATGTAAATATCTATTATCATAAAGATAGAAAAACATATATATACATGTACTATCTATCTGTGTATTATTATCTGCAAATATAATGTGTTCACAAACATATTAGTATTGAAGTTCGAGGTTACATTGTTAACTATTATTTTGCCGAGGTCATTGTTGACCGTTATCGCTAAAAAATAACAGTATAAAAACTACCAGATAAAGATAAAATATTTTTATAAACATTTTTTTTTAAATAATTAGATATTTAATTCTAATACTGTTTATAACGATTAGCAATAATAAAAATTAAGTCTTATCGATTAATCAATTACTGAGTGAAAAATTGTAAAGAGGGTAATTAAAGAATTGAAGTTATCATATTTCATTATTTTTATTTGATTATAGAAAAAATGTTTCTTATCCAAATAAAAAAATAAATGTGTAACACGATAAAAATTTTTTCACTTCTGTGAAATGTTATTCTTGATTTGTCAGCTTGTTTAAGGATTAAATGGAGATGATGATACGCTGAGGACGTTTGTTGCAAAACGATTACGGTTATTTAATCTGACACATGATATGTTATAATTTATGCGTGTATATACGTCTATATCCGCATATACAGATGCCTATAAAATACAATACTCCAGCGCATCTATTCTACACGTGAATTTTATTGTAAAATTTTTTTTTTTGTCATGCAGCTCAAGCTAATACTTTTATTGTCATATTTTATTGAGTTTATTAATTTATTATAGTTATAACTAAGGTCACGCGGGAATTTATTAAACAAGCTAATGTTAAATAAAATTTACTATTGATAGATGAATTAATTTCTTATTATAAACGCTCTAAATATAAATTTGATATGAAAATAGAAATATTTTTCACTTAGTATTAGTATAAGATTTTTTTTTTATTAATTGGCCACAATTGTTTGGTAATTAATAATCTAAAAATAGAGTACATCAAATATTTTGTTTACACTGTCAGTGAATTGATGACTCATCGAAATGACTCCGTCCCCATACAGAACAGTTTGAGTTCACATCAGATTAGGCCAAAAAAATTGACTGTATATTTATTTATTTTTTTTTTTATTATTTGTTTTTATAGCACATTTTTGATAAAAATCATTAAAATAAATTTTTAAGCTCGTTTTAATGCTTGTAATGATAAAAAATTAAATGCTTACTGAAAATTGTTTATATTATTTATCTAAATAAGTGTAGCGACTTCAAATAATATTTTTGTATTCTAAATGTGAGTACACGATTTGAAAAGAAAAACAAATTTTCTTTTCATGTCAATTTTTCAAATTCTTAGAATTTTTACAAGATTTTCTTTGGGAGCATCACTGTGTGACTGTCAAAAATAAAATCTAAAACAAAAAATTGAGCTCTAAATATTAATATTAACAGTTCAATAATTACAATTCGAGTTTCGGCTGTATAATATACAAAAAAAAAAAAAAAAAATACTTTTTGAAAAATGTATTTTTCTTCAATTCTAAAAACGAAATTTTTAGTAAGTAATTAATTAGGCATAAAATGTCTCATTTTTAGAAGCAATTAAATGATCAAGGAAATCTTTTTATCATTTTTCAACAAATTTACTTGAATATAAATTGAACTTCAATCTTTCATATAACATTTGAGATAATAATTATATAAAACTTGTTTTAAGAAAAATTTAATTTTCTTTAAAAATGTTTATAATTCATTTGTGTAAATTTGTAATCAGATTTTTTTGTTGAGGATAAAATTTTTTTTTTTAAATAAATGAGTTTTTTCACTTTACAAATTTTGAAGCTTCAAGGAAATATCTTTGAAAATAAAAATAACATGATAATTTTTTATCTATTCAACTATTTTTTATTGATCATATTAAAATTTAAGAAAAAAAAACATTTTTTAAATTTAGTTTGAAAAGTTAAAAACTATTATGAAATATCAATTGATTCCAATTAAGCCCATAAGTATCTAAAATTAAAAATGTTTGATTGTATAAAAATATTTTTGATTAAAATTTTATTGTTAATCAATATTTACCGAACGCAGTAATAAAATTATGAAGATTTTATGAAATAAAAAATGATCCATGTTTATCTCTTCAATTTTAATTGAAAAGGTTGCATACATTATTAAGATTAAAATCTATCTATTGATGTAAAGTTTTATTAATGAAAATATTTATTAGCAGTAATAATAATAATAATAAATTTTTACACAATTGGAATTAAATGACAAATGCATATTTTTTATTATTTTATTTGTATGTTGAGGACGCTTGAACATTTGTACTTTGGACCTAACTCAATGTATGGCAAGCTAATCACTCGCCGTCAATATAGTAATAGTAATATATAACACATTAACATATGATTGTTAATAAAAATAATGAATGTCTATTGTAACTTATTTTGAAATAAATATTTAAATTAACAATACCAATGAGTGTTTTTTATATTCATTTAATATTTTCTGCAACAAATGTAATAAATTTATTCAGCCTGTCATATGTCATAAATGATTAATTTAATTTGTAGAGAAATTTAATAGTTGTCATCTTTTTTTATCGCAGTGTTGAACGTGAGGCCTCGAAAAATATCGAAGAGAATGAAAGAGAGTGCTTCAAGGATGCTATTGTATCCTCTAGAAGTCTTAACAAAGGCTATGTCGAACGGACGCAACTCAAGAATGCAGTACCTGAGGTAAAAATTTTGTTTTTCAAATCAAAGATATCTTACTTTTTTTTTTATAATTGTATCTAGGAAATCATTCAATGATCGGATAAGATAAATCTACTTCTGAGTATTTCTCAGAAAAGGAAATCATTTTTAATCAGAGGAATAGATAAATCAATAAATAATATTGCATATTTCCATGTTTGTCGATTCTTCTTTAAATAAAAACAATCTCTTTTCCACAGATTGTTGCTTGTATTTTGACGACATCTTTTCATATTGTCGTGGGGCTTAGCATGGCTTATTCGGCTATTTTGATCCCTCATTTGGAAACCGGCGATTCTGGTCTTAAAGGTACCACAGTAGAAACATCATGGACAGGTAATTCAAATTAAAAAAAAAAATTTTTTTTTTTTTCAATAAAATAATTTTAGTCAGGTGAGAAATATGAAGAGTCATTTACAAGTGGGATCCACTTTATTTTTGACCATAAAAAATCCAAAAATAAATTTATTGAAGTAGTTTTGATGTTCAATTTTTTTTTTTGCACTTTTACAAGAGAATATTTGTAGTAATATCTGTAAATTCTGGGAATTTTACGAAGTAAAAAAAAAAATTTTTTTATAGTTTATTTTTTTTACTAGAATTGATTGAAATTTTCAGAGTACACAAAAAATTTAGAAAAAGAAATTAAAAGTTTTTATTTTAAAAAATAGAAAAAAAAAAAGACTTTTAAAAAATATTATTTTCTTTTTATTAAACTTGACAAAATACCGAAGATTACTAACTTTAAACTAGAATACCCCCACAGTAACTAAAAATTTGGACAATCGATAATCCCGTAGGCCAGATCCAGAACTTTCCACCGTTCTCAAGCTCCACATGACCCATTGATCTTAAATGTGAATCATATTTGACGGCCGACAAGATTAAGACCTCTTGATTGATGCAAATATGAGTTAAATCGGTCAAGTCGCTAAAATATGATAAACTATTTACATACAACCACGCATACTTTTAAATTATCAGAATAACTTTCGAGAGTCTCAAAACGTCAATATTAAATGTAGATATGATATCTGCAAATTAATTTAAATAAAATAACGGCTCTCTTTTTGTAATTTTCCATTTTTTTATGGAAACATAATAAATCTTACCAAATTTACATAATAATTATATATACATATTTATACTTTTAATGTGTTTATATGTTTTAGGGTGTATCAAAAAGCCGAAAAATTTTATTTTTTCAAATAATGATTTAAAAAAAAATTTATCGTTGATGTGAAATGAACGTGAATTTTAATTTCAGTCAAATCACGAGCAAATGCTCGCCAATTAATGTCATTTTTTTTATCAGTCAATGACATGAGCTTTTTTTTTTATGATAAAAATGCGCCTGAAATTTAAAAAGAAAATAAATTAAATAAAAAAGTCACTTTGAGTGTATTTAAATTTCTTGCATTAATCATAAATGGACGTGACTATTTATGCGCAAAAAAGTTCTGATAAATCCACGTTGCGTGAATGTAAGGGCCTTTATATTCACACGGCTTGAATTTATCAGGGTTTTTTTTTACGTGTGAATAGTCACTTCTATCATAAATTTATAACTTTTCCTAGTTTTTATGATACTTTAAATAAAATTTTCTCAAAAATCGAAAAATTCAAAATCAAATCTAACTTGGACAACAAATAAATTTTGAAAAATTTGTTTCACAAAAATGACTTGATAATTTTTTTGAGTTGATTAATTGACGTCTAATGACGAGCACATTTTTTGTCTCACATCACGATTTATACTTGATGATAATTAATAACTTATGATGAGTTATTGGTATTCACACATTGAACACTGAATAAAATTCATCACACAGAGTCACACATATCAAGGGTGAAATATACGTGTCCGTACTGATTAAAGTATAGATTAATTCTCTATTTCTTAGTTTTGTTTTTTTTTCTTATAGCTTTTCAAAAAATAGATTCATCATTTTTTTCTACAATAATTCTTCCAAAAAAGTAATTTCTTGATAGACAAATTTTTTAAAAAATTGCTTTTAGTTTACAAAAGCTGAATGAAGGATAAGAATTCACTCTGTAAATTTTATTTTTACCGGCGTAACCTTTGTAATCTTGTTTTAAAAACAAAAATCTAGACTACTAGTAAAGTATAATTTATATAAATAGATTTTTTAGAAAAATTCTTGGTTAAATATTAAGTTTTTAGTGTATAAATTCGAAACTTAAGTCTTCAAAACAACAGATGCTATTTAAACAGTCTTGCAGAATCATCATCAATTTAAATGATTAAGCAACACTCTGAATATTCGATCAGTTTTATAACCGAAGGTTTTAAGAATTGACAATGGCCTGACCAGTATTTATGTACGATCGTAAGTCATTGCCCGAAAAAAAACATTAAACTTAAAAAAACTCAATTAATAAATACTGAAATTAATAGACAGCTAAAAATTATTATGAATTTTTTTAGCTAAGAATTAAAATTAAAAAACACTATAAATGAAGTTTTCTAAATATTTTCTCATTAAAAATTTATTTTTAAATAACATCAAAAAATTGTCAGATACCTGCTGCAATTTCAGGATTATTATTTTAACTCGATAATTTTGTAAAAATAGAGACCACTTTACTTTTAATTATAAAAAATCGAAAGACAAATATTAACAGACATTTTTCTAAATTGTTTGTTTTTTACAGCGCATTTAATTAAGATCAATGTAATGAAAATAGTCCAAGATAAATTTTTCATTTAATTTGGAGTTTAATGAGAAAAATCCAATTTTCACTAAAAATTGTAAATAAATTTTATCTAAATAAGTGTTGCGGTTTTTAGTAATTTTTTTTTATTTTATGTTTAAATTTGATAACAAACTCTGAGAAAAAAATTTCAATTTTGTAATTTTTATTATTTTTACAAGAATTTTTTTGTAAAGTTGAAAAATTGACAATTGAATATTTCTTTTTAAATTCGATTTTTGATTAACTTTAAGAAAAAAATATGTGGATAGAAATTAAATTTAATCATGTTGATTTTATGACTAAAAATAAGGTAGTTTTCACTTGTAAATAATTATCATTAATTCTAATATGATATTGAAATAATTTATTTTATTTTCCAGCTAGTATTATTGTGGTTGCTGTGCCGATAGGTTCTTTAATAGTCGGTTTCTTAATGGAAGCGTTTGGCCGAATTCGAACTCTTCAACTAGGTGCGATACCTTGTATAATTGGATGGATATTAATAGCAACAGCCCAAAACATCCCTATGATATTAGTGGGACGTCTATTAACGGGATTAGCGATAGCAACATCAACATCGCCCTCAATAGTTTACATAACAGAAGTAGCAACACCAGATCTTCGTGGATCGTTGATGTCATTTGGACCAACATTGGCGTCACTTGGAATGCTACTATCGTATTTGAAAGGCGCTTACTTACCATGGAGACTAGTCGCGTGGTTGGCAACTATTTATGCAGTAGTGCCACTCTTTTTAGTACAATTTTTCGTTCCGGAATCCCCCGTTTGGTTAGTATCTAAAGGCCGAATAGATGACGCTAAAAAATCGCTCGCAAGAATTTACAAATCCGAAGAAAAAGGATTTGGAAAAATGTCACCGGCTGAACAAGCATTTACCACAATTATGAAAGAAAATGAAATAAAATTGAGTGAACAAAGAAGAAGTAAACGAGGAAGTTTGTCGACAAAGCTCCGAGCTTTCTTGAAACCAACTGGATGGAAGCCTATGATTATTCTTATAATCTTTTTCTTGTTCCAACAATTTTCTGGTATTTACATCACTTTGTTTTATGCTGTCACATGGTTCCAGGTACATTGTCATTTTTTTTTTAATTTTATTTCAATGGTAAAATATTAGTTTAATTTATCGTTTTCTTTATTCTGTAGGAAGTAAAATCCGGTGTCAATGAATACACTGCATCTATTTTAGTTGGTCTCACACGTTTCTTATGCTCGATGGTCAATACATGGCTTTTGAGACGGTACAAAAGACGACCACTTTGCATAATTTCGGCGTTGGGAATGGCTGTTTGTATGTCAGTATCAGGATACTTTACCTTACAAATCAAAAACGGTAGTGAGAGTGGCAACTGGGTACCTGTATTAGGTCTTCTACTTTATGTATGTACGTCGATGATTGGGATGTTGACTATTCCATGGACCATGACTGCTGAACTCTTTGGATCCGAAATTCGAGGTGTCGCACAGTCTGTCAGCTATGCTATGGCTAATGTACTTATGTTTGCCGCGGTACAGAGTTATCGAGATTTATCTACATTGTTAGGAGGTTTGTAATAATATTTATATAAATTATAAATCTAAAAATAAAAATTAGTTTTTATACCTTAGCGATATTTGTGACAAAATGAAAAATATCCAATTTGATCAACAAGTTTTTACACTCATAATTATTTTTTTTTAAATATTAAAAAAAAAAAATGGCAATTTTTTGCATAGACAAGTAGAAAATTAAATATTTTAAAAACCTTACAATAAGGTCTTATTTTAATTTAGTCGGATAATTTCAGTTTTCTTTAACAAGTTAAATTAGCTTATATTTTATACTTTAAGACGAACGGTTATTGATTTAATTTCATTTATTTTAATTGTAAAAATTACCATTTATTAATTATAGTTTATAGAACATGATTTCTTTTCATTATAAGTATCTTTTAATTATAACTACGTCTTATTTCACGCAGATACCTTATTTATTTAAGTGGCGCACAAAATGACTTTTTTCAAATCTCTAACAAAAATATATTGATTTATCATGCTTTGAGAACTATCTCTAAAAATAAGCTCAATTAAAAAATTTTTAAAGGTCTCTCAAAATGAAAATATGATTACTAGAAACGTCAAAAATGAAACATTTTTGTTTTTAATCTTTTTTCTCTTCATTTACTATTTTATACGTTTAAATTTGTGTTCTAAAAAGAAATGTGCTCTTATATTTTCTAATTTTTTTGAAAATTTTCTAATTGCATTCAATTCAAAGAACTATCCTAAATTTAGGTCACTCGAAAATATCTACAGTATACAACTTTGAAAGTTAAAAGAATCTTAAGCATGCTATTGAAATCAAATCATCACAATAAGTAATTTCATGTTCATTTTACATGATTTAAAACATTGAAATGGTACAATAACAATGAAAAAGTATCAAAAACCAAAAAATTTCAATATTCGACTCCTAAAATTTTTTTTATTCAACTAATGTTTTGAAAAAGCTTTTAAAAAATAATAAATTATCATATTTTCATAAGAGACAAAAAAAAGGTAAATTTTTTGCACCACTCTTCAATCTATACTTTATTACCATGGTAATATCTACTCACTTAATTTAAAGTTTGATCAATACTTTCAACAATGAATTATTGGTATATTCTTCATTTGAATTAAAAAATTTTAATACAATTTGTCTCTTTAAGTTATACTTAAAGATAGAAAAAAAAAAAATAATCTTATTATTATTATAATGAACTAGATTTATTTACGGCTCAGAAAATTTTGTAAATATTTATTAATTTTATCTTAATTCTATATATTATTTAAATTAGTATTGATCTTAGCATTATAAACATTAATTTTATGAATTAATTTTCTAGGTTCACATGCTATCCAGTGGTTCTTCGCAGGTGTTTCTGTTGGTGCAGCAGTATTCGTTTGGCTTCTACTTCCCGAGACTCACGGTAAAAAATTGTCGGAAATAGAAGAATACTTCTACAATAATACTATTGCGGCTGGTGCTGACGCAAAAGCTCGTCGAAGAAGAGCCAAGAGACGCGCAGAACAAAAAGCTCAAGCTCAAGCTAGTGTACCATTGAATCCAACTCCAAAGAATGCTGAACCGGTCTAGTGAAAAAATAACTTAATTTTATTGATAAGTATGATTTATACCACACATTTTTTAAAGCATTGAATACTTTTTTACATTTTCTTTATTCAAATCTATCATTCCATTTAGTAAATTTTTTATTGAATGATTGATTTGAACAAGTCAAATAAGAACTTTATTAATTGAATATTTTGTTATAAAAAAAATCTAGGAAAGCGTTATTAAGGAAGTTATACATAAAAATATAATCCATACAGTGCTTCGATAAGAAAAGTGAACAATCTAATAAAAAAGTATTTAATAAACAAATGGATAAAAAAAGTAACTAATATAAGGAACGTTAAGAATTTTTTGAGCTTTCTGTGGATCTTGCATCACTTGAAAAATATTTTTTCAATCGTACTTTTTAAATATATATTTTTTAGTATTTTTGTGCAAGTGGCCTTGATAAACTACACAAACTTTTTTTTTATCATAATAATAGAAAAAAAAAAAAATAAACAAATTATAGTTACTTAATAATTTAGTAAGTTAAGTTAGTAGATATTAAATAATAAAATTAAATAAAAATGAAAGTTTTTTAAATTTATTATTTTTATTTATATTAAGTAGTACATTTTATGTAAGAATAGTAACGAAAAAAATTATGAAAACAAAATAAATATTTAAAGGCTGATAAGTTCAATAATAACATTTTTAAAAAAATGTAATTATTACACAATAACACAAACTAAAATATTTCTTTTATTACACTTTTACTGTACATGTGACTTTAATATTTTACTTTAAGTCTAATTATAAATTACAGTTGCCATTTTAAGAAAGTAAAAATTAATGATAATGACATATGTTTACATATAAATTATTATATTTTAAACTTACCAAATAAATACTTAAAAATATAATTGTCAAATTTTTGATAAATACGTATTATTGTCTATTGTATTATATTATATTGTTTAATAAATTCATTTATGTTTGAAAATATTTCTTTTTTTAAATTTATTCCTTTCTAAACTTTCAACGATTGATTGATATCGAAGAAAATCAGTAGAAGTAATTCCAAGATTCTAATTTCTAATTTTTTTTCAGTTCTTTATGGCATATTTGCCATTATTATTGTCAGTAATTTTAAGTCTAATCAAATTTTAAGCTCTCGTTTTCTGTAAGTGTATGTATCCATAGGTATAAAAAAAAAAAAAAAAAACGATCGATATCCAAATTATTGGATTACCGATTGATAAAAATAGATAATAATAATAATAATAAATTTTAATATTTTTGACAATGAGATAAACTTGAAGATGAATAAATACTACGGTATTTTGTCAAAAAGATACGCGATTCGGAATGCAGAAAAATATTATTAGACAATTCTAAACAAATTATTTTTAATTTTTTCATTAACTGTTAACCCTATGATTGCTGTGAAAAAAAAAGAAGGGTGGGTGACCTTTTAAGCCATTCCTGAAACTTCCCGCTTTTCTAAGTTCAAAACATTTTTCAATTAATTAATTTTCAAGTTGAAAAGCTAAGAATTGAAATTAAGGTAAAAGACCCCATTAGTGACACTTTTTCTTTCAATGAAAAAATGTTCTACTTGGAATAAAAATTAAAAATTTTTTTGATCCAAAGGTCTTAAAGATTATAAATAATATATTCATAATAGAAATCAATGATTTCATTAATTAAATAAGTACCAGAATCAAAAAAAGTGTTAGTAATGGGATCCCCGCCACTAATGGGGTCTTTTACCCTATTTCAAGATTTTCTAACGGCAATATCTTTTGAACGCATTGTTCGATTATGATTTGCTTGATGGGATACGACAAAGTTTTTCAAGAACAAAAAATTCGAGTTGTCCAAATATTTTGAAATATATCTCAAAAAAAAAAAAAAAATTTTTATTAATTTATGTTTTTTGAATATCCTTGAAACGGCTTAACCGATTGACTAAAACCTCAAAACATGAAGGTTTTCCAAATTATGAATTTTTATTGCATGAAAGTTAAATGTTGTATATTATGGTGAGTGATGAAGAATTAACTTTTTAGGCTCATTTTACTTCTAAAGCTTTCGTTTACTATAAACTAATAATATAAAGGTGATCCCCGAATCACGAATAGAAAGATACAATACAGGACTTCATATGTAATTTAATTATGTATTCTACGGATTCTTAACAAGTCCTCCTCTACCTAAGTAAATATTCGAACCGCAGCCAAGGCCCGAAAAAGGAAGAATCCTTCTCTCAAATTCCTGTTCTATCATTAAATGGATTGTGGGCTGAGAATTTATTAATGATTCTGTTAGCATGCTTAAGTCAGAAAAATGGTCAGAATAGATTCCTAGGACCTTTAAAATTCGAGATCTGATGAAAAATTTATTCTCAAAAATCAAACTGAGCATAATAATGTCCTAAATTTTGTAAAATTTTCAATTTCTAAATGGTAAAATTAGAAGTAACGTTTCAGGATTCTTCATAAATAAGCAAATTATTAAAATAGATATAAATAAATTGGATGTACCAAACTTTTGGAATATTTATGTCAAATTTTATAATAAGTAATTAATGAAATAATAATTTAATACTTTGGAGGCATAAATATCTTAAAACCTCTTCTGTTTTTATTTTCTCAATTTTTGCTTTCTATTTTTTTTATGAATCTTTAAAATACAATACATCTCAAATGGTATGACCGAATACATTATATGCGGCGTTTTCGATTTACTTTGGGAACGTTTCGATACCGAATAAAAATTATTCAGCCAAAATTTCAGCTTTTAGTTTTAAGTAGTTTTTGAGTTATTCGAAAAAAATTATTTTTTTTTTTCAATTTTATTTTTTTTGTCAATCATAAAATTGATAATAAATAAATAACAATTACTTCCCAATAATTACGAATAAAAGGCATAAAAATAATTCATTAAATGTTTTTATCAATCTCAAATTGTCTTATTTTGAACAGGCTCCAGACATTAAAACTGACTTTGCTCGGATAGTCAACACTTGTTCTCATCTGAAATTGTCTTGTTTCATCTCTTGTCAAACAAAATACTATTATATAGCATCTGAGAATGAAAATAGATAAATACACAACTTGAAAAAGTTAAGGGAGCCAAAATAATGTTTTATTTATTATCTCAAATTGGCAATTACAATTTAACAATTATTTTACTATCATAATAATTAATATTGTTGTTATCATTATTTTTAGTATTATTGATAGTACAATTTTTTTTTTTTTTTTATAAAATTAATAATAATCAGCAGTTGATGAACAAAAAAACATTCAATCTCTATCCGCAGTAAGAAAGTTATTTTATTACATATAAATAAATCGCACCGTTGTCGTAGTTTTAAAACCTTAATTAATCTTTGTTATCATTTATAGTCATAGTGGTTATTATTATAATTAATGCTATTACTATTATTATTTTTATTTTTATTAGTATTATTATTTGTTTAATTATTTCTTTCACCATAAAAAATATGAGAAACTAAAAAAAAAAAAGTTTCAGTTTTAAATTGTTAAACAATATATCAATGTTCACACACAGTTTTTTATATTTTATTACTGCTTAAATTATAATAAATTCATTTACTTATCTTTTCACATTTTAAATATTTCTTCACTTTCATACGCTTTTACATCACGTTAATAAAAATCATTATTAGACTTAATCAATATTAATAATAATATAAATATATGCGATAGGGAATTATATGTACGTTACGATAAAGCGATAGAAGATAAAGAATAAAAGTAAAAAATAAATCACTTTTAAATCGATAAAATTGATTTATTTTTAATCGAATCAAGCTAATAATTAAAATAAAAAACTACAGAGCAAACATAATTATCAAATTGACATTTAAATAAATAATAAATATTTAATATGAAAAATGATTTATTTTAACAATTTGCATACTTTTAATGGCAAATAAAATTTTTTTTCGATTATATTTTCAGGCAAACAATAGAGTTAATATTACATATTTTATTGTTTATATTTGATAGTTATTATTTGAACATTAAGATTAATTATTGCATGTAAAAAAAATTCGTTCTACGATTTAAGTATTAATAATGAATATTATATTCATATTATTAGCAGTATTGGTTAAAAAAAAATGATTTTTATCAATGGCACGATCTTATTATAACAAAGGCAATATATATTCATACAGCTAATTTTTAAGGTCTATTGCTAAATTAATAAATTAAAATAAAATAAATTAACATTCATTTTTCAACTATATTAAAATATTTTAGTTTTGTATTAACCTGTTCTGTAGTATCGTTCATAAAAATGAAACTATAAATTTGATATACAAAAGAAGGGATAAAAATGTTTTATAAATCATCTTTATTAACGATAAAATTGTTTTTGACACTCAAAGGTTATAAAAAAAAAAAAAAAAAAAAAAAAAAAAAAAAAAAAAAATAATCAATAAATTTTTTTTCAACAAATTATTGAATGTAATTTTTACATCTTAATTGTCAAAGTAGTTCAATTAGTAGATAAAATATTTTGGTCTTCAACTGATTGATGAATGGATATTACATGAAACTGAATATAATATTTTAATCAAAAATTACTTTACAAAATGTATTTTTAGAGGCATATGTTCACAATTTTTAATTAAATGGAAACATTTTAATTCAATTAAAAACTAAATTAAAGTCTTTAATATTAAAGAAAGATTGAGACAGATCATTAATTTTAAAAAGATGAATGTATTAAAGTCCTTACCAAAAATAATAAATATTAGTGTGCAAAAACAAAAGGACTACTTTGATTATTGTTGCGTTGGTTAATGACTATTATAATCTATTAATTTAATAATATTATCAAAGTATCGGTTTATGATTTTTATAAAGTGAAAAATAAACCGAATGAATTGGTTTTTTTATTGTATATAAATATATAGAGCACGGAAGTAGGGTAACCTGCCATGCCGAATCGTGAGATAAATATATAGATTTAATAAATAATTTTAATGACAAATAATGCATATTCACCTGGAAAATACATCGACCACTGGCTAATATTGTTTTTTTTTTTTTTTTTTTTTTTTTTTTTCTATTTACATCGTATTTTTTAAATAAATTTTCTTCTTCATTTTCCCCAATCATTCGTGTCATCATTTGACTAATTTTCATATTGGTCTTCATACAAGAGTAGCGAATCGATTAATCAATATTTACTAGTAATATTGAAATGAATTAAAAATTACAATTTTTAAAACTTTATTCTAATAATGTAATAAATGGTTTTCTTTTTTTTAATTCATATTTTATTAGGTAAACTTTATGGATTTGTAGCACTTTTACCAATAAATCTTAACAATAATGATTCGTGTCTCTCTTGAAATCTTGCAAATCGTTTCAATATTGAAACTCTTAATGTCTCAGAATTATTATTACTATTACTATAAGAGTTTCTAAATGTTAGTTAATTTTTACTATTATTACTTCTCGGACTCGATGACGCCTGAACGGCTTCTTGTGCTTTTTGAATGTATATATTTAATAATTTTAATTTACCACCATAAAGATTTTTCCGGTACTTATTAAATGATTCTTCACCAATCGCTGCATGAATCGCTACCATACAGAATACTGCTGCTTTTCGTACAACGCTTTCTGGATTCTCGTATGCCTTCAATTGAAAAAAATTAAGGATTAATGCTTTAATAAATCAATTTCTTTATTTATTGTAAAAAAAAAAATGATAGATTACACTGAAAGAACAAGATAACACTGGATATCATCCCAGATTATACTGAGTGAAAAAAATTTCAAATAGTAGCTAGTATAATCCAGATTACAATGAGTATAATCCCAGATTACAATGAGTATAATCTGGATTTTTTTTTTTAGCTACTATCTGAGATTTTTTTTTTTTTCACTACAGATATCACTGAGTATAATCTAGGATGATATCCAGTGTCATCTTGTTCTTTCCGTGTATGGAATTGAATTAATTTTTTATTTGCTTTAATTATTTTTGAAAAAAATTAAAAGAAAAGTTTATTCATATTACCTGCATGAGCGTTCCCATAACGTCATCAATTAGTGCTCCAAGCGCATCTTTTCCTCGATGTTCGACAACATTTTGTATCATCTTAATAGCCGCGACATTTTTTGGGAATGGTTCCGTTTTCGCAGTAGTTAAAGCTAAATGAATTGTTTTGTGTGGTGGTAAAACAGCAGCAATCATCGCTGCACAGTCTTCAGCAGCTTTTAATAATTGAAGAGGTTTAGCACAATGAGCGCTGGAGTTACCTCGTCGTGGACTGCTGCTTGAACCTTCATAGGCATCCGATTTATGTTCATTTAATACTTTTAAAATTAATAAATCCGCGAAATCATCAAAATAGTTTGTCAAATCACGACACTTAAGCATTTCAATTAAAGTTTTCAACACTTCTATTTCCAGACTTTTATCATCTAATGCTAAACAATCGAGCATTGTTTTAAGTAGTTTTTTAAATTGTGTTATCACATACTTTGCGCCATCACCATCACGAATGTAAATTTGAAAATCTCTTAAAACATTAGCTTTATCCAGCGTCTGTGTTTCGGAACTTTGGAGTAGTCTTAATGTTCGTTCAAAGACTTCCGGTCCACGTGGAAGTTCTGGTGATACACCAGCAACGTTATGGGTTTCGTACCCATTATTACGCCGATCAGGTAATATTAAATCACCGGCAATTGTATCACTTGAACCGTTAACAGTAATGGAGCCAACACTGCGGCCACGTTGAGTTGGCGATGAAACGGATGATGATCTTCCAGAGTTAGACAAAGTTAAACTTTCTATTTTTTCTTCAACATCTGCCATATTACTTATACCAGAATCTTTGCTTGAAGTTGCACCTTCCATACGTTCAAATCCATAATTTTGAATCTCAGCTGTTGTACGTCGTAGAGATTTATAAACTTCTTCGGGGTTCAAGTGATCGTCTGATTCTAAATCATGACGTATTACTGTTCGAGCTGGAGATTGAGGTACTCTTGGTAATTGACCGCTTGGTGATGCTGGATTTGAAGCTGGTGATCGTTTTAAATGATTTTGAATTAAAGGCATTGCGGTGTCCTGATACATTTTTGGAAGTTCGTTCAACAACATTGGGAACAGAGGTGGATTGAGATTATACAGAGCAATTATGGCCTCTGATGCGTGACGACGAACTTCCTGAGACTTCATGTCACTGGTCCAATCTAATAAACGTACGAGTGCAGATTTACAGCTTGGAGTTAATGATGAAGGCTCTGCGTTGTCAGCTATGTGAGTTAAAAAGGTAAGAGTCGCTACTTTTACTCGAGAATTCGGAGTATGTGCGGGGTCAGTTAGAAAACGCATCACTACCGGCAACAATTGTTCACTAGGAAAGTTTTCTCTGAAATATTAAATTTTTTTATCAATAATTATTCGAATTTATCGTTAAAATTAAATTTTTATAATTTATTAAGTAACATAACATGAAAAAAATTATACATACTTAACAACATCAAGTGATCGATTAATTTTTGTTTGAATTGACACAAGAAGATCCATTCCCAGTTTGTTGAGTAATCGCGTGCATAAAACATACAACCAATCCACTAAATCCTCACTATGAGTTATTATGAGCTCATTAAGTGTATCCAAAAATAAACTGAATACTTTGGTATGTGAATCCATAAACATTTTTGTAAAAATATCCGTTATTTGACGCAACTCTGTCGCAGTCAATGTATTTCCATTTATCAAAAATTGTTGCAAATCCATTAATCCTTCCTTACGTTCTCCCCATTGCTTGCGTCCACACCATTCAATTATTTCTTTTATATCCTGAATTTAAAAAATAAGAATCTATTTAATAAATAAATCTTACAATTTTATTATCAGACATATTAGGTAAATTCATAGTAGATTATTAAGTTAACGATCAACACAACAAATAAAAAAATCAGAAACTTTTTTTATAACACACCTTCGGCCCTGATTGATCCCACGCTTCACGGTAAAGTCTCTGTTGTGAGCCGCTCCATGAAAAAGACTATATTGGTTCACAATTATAAGTGAGATCAAAAAAAAAAAAAAAAAAAACATATAACGATAAATACAAATAATTTAGCATTAATAACATAAATATATATACATAATTTTTTCTTTTTTTTTTTTATTTTTTTTTTTTTTCAGATTAAGTAAATTACGAACGATAATGAAATAAAAAAATTTAATCAAGTTACCTCTATAATTAATAAATAACAAAACAAAAAAAATTATGTACATCATGCAACACTTGAGATTAATGACGTTAATTCATATTATAACTTTAAAAAAGTTTGAAGAAATAATATTAGTACTTGTTTTAAAGATTGAATTGATTACTTTTTTTTAAATTAAAAATATTTTATTATATATACAATTAATTTTTTTTTTTGGTTTTTTTTTTTTTTTTTTTTTTCAGATTAAGTAAATTACGAACGATAATGAAATAAAAAAATTTAATCAAGTTACCTCTATAATTAATAAATAACAAAACAAAAAAAATTATGTACATCATGCAACACTTGAGATTAATGACGTTAATTCATATTATAACTTTAAAAAAGTTTGAAGAAATAATATTAGTACTTGTTTTAAAGATTGAATTGATTACTTTTTTTTAAATTAAAAATATTTTATATAAATAAGTTCAATAACTTACATCACTAGGTCGTCGAAAGTTCTCCATACTACGTTCAGAACAAATACTACTAGTTTCACTGTCATCGCTTTGATCACCCTTATTTCTATTAGGTGTTTTTGGATGATGATCACGATCGAAAGTCAATGCATCAGCAAGAGCTGATTCCGCAGCTTGTGATTGCTGTAACATTTTTTGAGCCATCACAGGTGGTCGCGGTGACATATATAAATTACGTTCACGTAATTTAGAACTGACACTACGATCTAAGCCAAACCGCTGAGGACTAGGATCACGGCTTGTTTCTGTGCTACGCATTCCCTGACCAGAAAGTCGTCTTGGTCGAGCAATAAATGAGTCGCCTTCACGACTATAAGACGCGTAAGACATTCGTGATGCTGGTGAACATGATCTACTGCTTGCTGTAATTTTTAAATTATTATTTATAATTACAAGTATATATTTATGTTAGTTTTTAATTTTTATCATAAAAATATTTAATATTTACGTTGAGATTGTGAAACTCCTGAGACTCGTGTTTTCGTTCTTGCAGATCTTTCAGGACTTGTGAACAAATTTGTTTCAACTTGTTTTGCTACTGGTCGAACTAAAAAAAATTTTTTAATTGTGAATTACTTTTCAAATTAATTAAAATAATAATAAGTTAAAAGGCTTTAAAAAATCATTTCTTTGTTTACCTGTAGTTGCTTTAGTACGATTAATACTAGCATACTTTAATCTTGATTGTGCACGCCGAGCAGCTTGAAGGTCTATTGCACTATTCGATCTAGGTCCTGGTGATACTCGACCTTTAAAAACATTAAATAGTAAATTATTTGAATAAAATAAACTTTCAAACACAAAATACACATTTTACGTAAAATGAATAAATTAAAATACCGTCACCCTTTAATCATTTTAATCAATTAATTAATTAATAAATGAAAATGTGAAATATTAATAAATTTATGGTGTGACTTAATAATTACATTCAACAAATAAGTTTACAAAATTAATAAATTATATTCAAGTGGTTAACAATTGAAAAATGAGTTAAAAAATGAAAAAAAAATTGTGAATGATAGAATATATTAAATTACAGTAATTGTCAGTTGGTCTTTGTAGAACTGGAATTCCAGACTGACGATAAGATCGTGGTAGAGATGGTGTCCGTTTAAGCGGTCCATATGGCGGACTTTGAGTCTGATGTAAATTTTCCGTACTGCCTTTTTTTTTTTTTTATATTTTTCATATAATAGTTTTATTCATTTTATTTTATTTTATTTTATTTTATTTTATTTTATTTTTTTTTTGGCACATGAAGAGCAGCATGAGAACAAGCAATTGATATGATTTAAAATAAATAGTATGTAGAGCAAAAAATAGTGACAAAAAGACAAAAATAATTATGTATATATATATTTTAATAACAACGTACACACTAAAAAATTCAGCTTTTTGATTTCAAAAATTTATTTAATTAAAAAAAAATTGTTGATAAAAATACTCAAGTTTTTTTAAAAATATATTAAAGTAAACATTTTTTTTTACTAGCAATAAATACTTTGTTTGTATTTATATAATAGCAAATAAAATTCATCGAATAAAAAAATCTTGATAGTTAATCCAACTATAAGTAATGAAGTTGAATTTTTTAGTCAAATAGTAAAATAAAAACAAATATTTTGATTATAAAAAATACTTATGAAAAATAGAAAAATAAAAAAAAGTTAGACTTATTTAATAATCTTAATTATACCTGCTGCACTCATAGTCGGTCGCGTGGATCTTGGTGGGATACTTGGTGTTCTTACCACAGCATTCAAACTATTTACACTACCGCTATTGCTTTGAGATAATAAATTCCGTTTGTGCGACGCATCCATGGTATTCAGTAGCATTTCTGCTTGATCAGGAAAATGATCTCGGAAGGCCCAGAATGCTCTAAAGAAAAAGATAACATTTTTACAGCAAATGTTAAGCATAAATTAAAATATAACAAACCAGTAATTTAAAAATTTGATTACATACTTTCTTGCATGAGACCTGGCTTCAGCATCAGGATCGCCAATCCCTTTACCAATAGCATCTTGTAATATTTTAATATGCTTTTGTAATAATGACGTTGACCAGGTCTGTAATATCAGATTAACATATTCGCAAGCAGCTCTTCGTATATCTTTGCTTTTACTTGTAAAAAATGCAGTAAGTATTGGAATAAATCTCGCACTGTGTGTATGTTGGAATATAAACCGTAATGCTACTGCTCCGGATGATGACACAACCTTGGAAAAAAAAAAAAAAAAAAAAATTATCTTTAATCAAATATTAATAATTATCGTTATATCTTAATAATAAGTTTATTATAATTACCTTGGCACTGTTTTGTATAAGATTCATTACCGGCCCAAGTAAACCTTCCACAAACTGAGCAATCTTATTTTTTAACTGTCGACTTAGATAAGCGAGCGTAATAGTCGCTTCTTTGACAACTTGAGATCTCAAATCAGTACAAGCACCCTCAAATGGGTTTTGTATACTTTTTAACAATTCCATAAAGTTCTCGTAGGATGCTCCACCAGCCATTACTAAGCCACGTATCTTTTTAAGCTAAAAAAAAAAAGAAACTTACATTAATTATATAAAACTGAGTTAAATTATATATTTAATTCTTGACTCGATTATTAATTCAAAGCATTCTGATTTTCAAAATTGCTCAATAATTCATGTGTTATGTTGTACATACACGTTCTATAAAACATTAAACGTGACATGAAATAATGATAAAAAGTAACTAAATAAGTTTTAAAAAAAAAAAAAAAAGTTTGACTTACATGGTCGATTCTTTGGTTCCAATCTTTTTTGTCATCGCCAATAATGTCACGTATTGTTTTAAAATGCTCCTCGAGATCTTTGGCTGAAAATAGATGTACCTGAGGCACATCTTCGAATGCATTGGAAAATGATTCTTCGTCAACTGCTCCAGCGTTACCTGAATTTGTTCGGTCATTTAACTTAGATCCTTTTTATGGAAAAAATAAATTATGAACCAAAAAAAAAAAATAAAAATGAAGCAATTTATAGTAACAATAAAATGTTTAATTGTAGTAAACATAATTTGTAAAAAAATAAAAAAAATAACAAATAAAAAGATAGCTTAATTAAATAAACATGATTTTGTAATATACCTATTGATGGTATTTTAACACTCGGTCCAAACTGGCTTTTTTTTGGTAAAACACTTTTTATTTTTTTCGCTGGTGCAGATCTTACCTGAAGTGTAAAATAAATATTAATATTTTAGTTAACTTATTCACAAAGCTTATTATAATTGTATTACTCTTTGACTTATAATTATTAACTAATTTATCATTTTTATTTACCACTCTATCAAGCTCATCGGTATCTCTCCCAACTGCAACAAAAAAGAAATGATAATTAGCAAAATAGGCAATCAGATTTTTTTTCCTCTTCAACATGAAGAGTATTTTTTATTTTAAATAGCTTTATAAAATTAAGCAGGCATGGACATAATAATCATCAAATCACGAAAAAATAGATGTGTTTAAAGTCTTTCACTGTTATAATTAAAAAATATTATTTAATCAATTGAAATAAATTATTGTATGTAAGAAAAATAAAAGATTTAATTGAAAAATTGTGTTGGGAATTCAATTAAAAAGGAAATATTATTTCTTTTTGCAAACAGTAAATATAATTTACTTCATGCTTAAGTATATATTTTAATATATATGTTTACTCTTTAAAACAAATTCATTCAATGTAGGAAGTAGTTATAAAAAAAAATAATATGAAATCTTAAACAAATAATTATTTGAGGTATTTAAAATGGTTAAGTAAACGTAAAAAAATTGTATATTAATAAAGAGTTTGTATGCTAATGTTATGAAAGGACTGATTAATATTTATTTAGAAATAATTATACTTAACAAAAACATGAAAATCATAAATAATAGAATAATTAAAAAAAATTTTTTAAATATACCGTTTCTTTTTCTTAATTAGAATGAAACTAATTCTATTGAACTACAAAACGAAATTAATTCTATAGATTTATATTTGCTTTTAAATCATGTTTTTAATGTCAAGTAAAATTCAATGTAAAATTATATCTTGATATTATAAGGTTTATCCGACCGATCATTAAGAGTAATATCTATTTATAAAACATTTAAAAAATTGTAACATTTCTATTGTATAGATTTAAATTAATTTTATTGATCAGTGGCAAAATTGAATAAAATAATCGAAATTAATTGATTTAACTAAAAAATATCAACTTTCATAAGTTTTTGAAAAAGTAATTGTTTTTGTTCTTAATATAATGAATTTTTCAATCGATCGATTTTTGTACTTGAAAAACTGCGTTGAATGTTGAAAGCTTGGATAAAATCGATAATTCCTTTGAAAAATATCATCGAAATAAAGAATTAAAATAAGTAGTTCTTTTTATTTTGATCTTTTCATCTAAAAAACTTATCGAATATATTTCCAAGTTAAAAAAAAAATGGTATTTATCAGATCAGAGGGTTCAAAAAATGTATAAAAATTTATATTTTCAATTTTGAAATTTTTCTTTTTTGGTTAATTTACAACAGGGTTTTTAACACAAAAAGTATGAAATACTAAAAAATTGAGTGAAAATGCGTTCACAAATTATGATACTGAAATAAACAGACATTTGACAATTTTTCATTTTATAAAAAAAAAAAAGAAAAATGAATTCGCTCTTAGAAGAAATTAACAAAAAATTACATTCATAGTTTTTTAAAACTGCCAAACTTTTTTTTTTGAATTTTATTTATAATTCATTTATTTTAAAATTTCTGAAAAATTGTCGGTTAACTTTAAAATCATTAAAAATGATCATGTTTACGAAGTTTCATACACAATAATTAATACCACAGTTTATACTTCAATTTAAAAGAATACTTAATTTTTTTTTTTGTAAAAATAATATTATAGATAAAAAATAATAATACCCAAATCGGGATATAACCAGGGTGGTTTATGTACATCACATTTACATCCACGTGCTCGTGCAGCCGGATGTTTAACAATATTATCCCATTGCAAAATCCAAGTACTACTAGAATCCCAAATTTTTTTATCAATGCTAGGATATCTTATGAGTCCACGCCGGCAACAATTTCTTGGCCAGTTTTTTTCATCACTCCACATATTCATATTTACGCGATTAATAGCATATAATTTTGATTAATGAAATAAAAAAATGTTTATATTATTCATTTATTATAAACTTAAACAATTTGCAAACTAAATTAACTCATCAATAAATCAACAAGACAATGATCATGAATCATTAATCAGAGTAAAAGTGTCGAGAGTTAAGAAAGTGTGAAAATCCCACAAGTAAATAACAAGAAAGTCTATTTCATTGTTTCATCCCACTTTTTTTAGCAACTGTTATCATTATTATTTATATATTTTTTCGAGTTATATTTTCACTTCCTCTTTAAAAACGTCACATTAATATGACCTCAATCGATTAATCAACTGATTAGTTACACTTAATAAGTTATAATTAATCAAATAAAATAATAAAAAATAAATCAAACAAAAAATTTATATTTTCTTTGCAGCACATCACATTTAGTTATTCAAACAACAATATATTTTTTATAAAAGATAAATCACCAAAAACAACCATGCTTATCATTTATCATATTTTGAAATGTCATTGTTATATTTTACAAAAAAAAGAGCTGATTAATAACGAAATATAAACTAAATGTTTATTTAAGAGACCACGAGTGGATACTCTTGAATAAGAAACTTGAACGTACTCTACTCGTGATTCACGTAAGTTTGTAGCTACTAGTAAGCCAAACGGTTAAACTATAATGCCTGTAGATTGTCCTAGTCGTGTTGTGAATGTTGTATAATGTATATAAAGTGCGAGGTGTGTACATATATAAATATGTAATAATCTCTATGTATTGAGAGGCAAAAAGAAGGGTCGACCTTCCCCTAAAGCATACTGGAATCTATTCAGCACTATGCTATTATTTTGCAAGGGCTCCAAAATTCAACTTATAGAAAATTGTTTGTTGCTTTGAATTTGCTTCATTTTTATAAAAATTTTACTTCTTTTTATTTCCATATTTTTTATATGTATAAAAAAATTAAATAATTGTCTAAAAATGGGTACTATACTATTTTTGGCCAAAAAATAAAAATTTTTATTAAAAATAGAATTAAAAAAAAAAAAAAAAAAAAACACTAAAGTCATTTTTTTAAAATTATAAAGTCTTTCATATTCATAACATTTCGAAAAAATGATATTTAAAAATTTTTTCTTTTATTGTTTATTTAAATGTAGCATACAAAAAAAAAATAAACAAACATCCACAATTGTTGCACTTATTTAGATAAATTTTATCAACGATTTTCGTTTAAAATTTAATTTTTTTCAACACTGAAAGCTTTATAATTTATCAAAAAAATGTTTTGGACTATTTTCATCTTAAATACGTCACAAAATCGAATAATTTGATTAGAAAGTATCCGGGAATGCCTATTTTTCAATTTTTTAGGAAAAAAATAGGGTGAAAATTTTTAAACAGTTACCAAAAATAAATTTTCATATGAAAATAAAGAAAAAAAATTAAGCAGGAAAAAGATTTAATAAAATTTTTTTGTCAAGGTAAAAAATAATAGATGCAGTTTATATAATAACGATAAACGATAATTTAAACCGGAAACTATGATAATAAATCAAGATGCAACACAGTATGGCCTTTAAGATGATTCAAAGAATTAATATTATTATTAATTTAATTTTAACTTTTTGAAATAAAATGAATTATTAATTTGTTTATTAATAAAAAAGTTTTTAAATCTTGAGTTTATAATAAAAATGAAAAATTTGTTTAAATTTATATGAGACAGCAGCTATTTATTTTCTCAGAAATAAACTTTCCGAAGACTTTAACTAAGTAGTATACGTGCGGTCGTTTATGAAGTGAATACCTATCAACTATTACAATGTTGAAGATAGGAATTCATTACTTATTACTACATAACAACAGCTATTTATCTAATGATTACCATTTAATTTTTTATCCAATAAAAAATAAGTAATTTATAAATAAACAATGTATGTATGTAACATAAGTTGTTTTAATGTTTTTTATCAGCAAAAAATTTGAATGTTATAAAAAATCTTAAAAAAACTTTTGTTTCTTTTTAATCGAACAATTAACTTAATTTTTATATCTATTAAAGTCATGTTAATATATCGTACAGATGATAAGGAATTTTTATAAATTAGATCTATTGGAAATTAATTAAAAAAAAAATTAATTTTCTAGTTTGAAATATTTAAATTGCATCAAGTAAAACATACTTGTATGAAGACCTTTCACTTTTCTCACATGCAAACTCTCCAGTAATTTAAAGAGAAGGGAAATTTATGGTATAAAAGAAAAGAAATATGCAAGAATAGAAAAATAGGGTGTAAAACACTATGAGTAAGTGATTTAAGGACAATGACGATTGTGTCTTATGAGTCGTATAAATATGATGAACTCTATCCAAATTAATTTTAATGATTTCATTTTCTGTCATGATTATTGTTAATTTTATCATTCTGATCATTTGTTTATAAAGATTTTCAAAAAATAGGATTTTTAAACTCATTTTTTTGTAATTTGATTATATTTAACTATATATACAGAAAATTTCATTCTGATTAGTCAAATATTCTCAGAATTATACGCATATTTGCAAATACGCCTCGAAGCGTTAGCACGTAAGTGGGACTGAAGCCGAAAACTTAAAACGCGTTTGTTTTGAACTTGTGTTTTTAAAGTCAGGGAGCAAGATTTTTAACTGAAATTTTCACACAAGCTCCATAAATATATATCCTCCTAATTTATAGAAGGATTAATTATTATGATAGATATTTGCTATGTTGTAAGTACTTAAAGAAAAAAATTTTAATCGAAAAATAAACATTTTTTTTTTTGAAGTCGCAATTTTTTTAAACAATTAGTATTTTTCTTTATCTTTCGACTATATACTAGACAGTATCTTGCATTAACAAATTTTTTTTTTCGTTTTTTATTTTCGATAATCCAATCTTAAGATATCGTGCTCGCCGTACAATACTTTTTTTTAGAAGATAGTTCGAAAATCGGCTACAGCAACTTTAAAAATAATTATTTTTCAATTAAGAAAATTTTGAAATAAAGTTAAAAATTACTCCAGTATGTTCATAAATTTTTATATTAATTAATTGAAAAGACTTCTCAGGAATAATTCTATAAGAAAAAAAAAACGTTTTTTTTTTTTTTTTTTACACAAGTACCTGAAACCCCTTAAATAAGTAAAATAAACCGCTATAACTCTTAAAACGAAGAAGTGGTTTTAATATTTAACGGGTATATCGAATTAATTTTTAAATGAATAAATTTTAGTTAAATTCCAATAATACATCATCATTTTTAACTTAAAATCATGATTAGGAAATTAAATTAATGGCGCAATCAAAGGAAAATGAATTTTTCGATAAACGATCCGTTCAACTATTTGGTTTAATTTATTTAACTCCGTATTTGATCAGTTTGTTCGAAAAACAAAATTATATTAGTATTCTAGAATATATTAAAACTATAACATATTTTGTTATTAACAGTTTTTAAAATTAGTAAAAAATGTTAATCACTTATTTTTAAAAACTTGTTATCTGTATAAATAATTCTCGGTAAAAATTTTAATGACGTTACTAATTTACATGTTAACGGAGTTTTATTTAAAAATAAATGATTCCCTAAACTGCTATGAAAATTTAGCATTTATAGTTTATAACAAACCGATGAAACTAAATATTTATAAAAATGAACGGTTATATCATAACTACAGCTTGAAGAAGATAGGAAAAAAATTGAAGATGTCAAAGTAACATTGAATGGTTGATTACCGACCACAACCATTATGTTCTTTACGGGTGCTTAGAGCTCTAAAAATATATATGAAATCAACTGAGTCATCTTATGCGACTTACGACTGTAATTGACCAACATCTTTTCTTTTCTTTACTCATATTCTTTTTTATCTGTTTTTTTTTTTTTTACTTTGTTTTGTCATTATTATTTTATTATTTTACCAAGCCCCATGCTATGATCCAATCGAATAACAGTTACGTGATTTAAAAATGTTATGTTTTAACGCTCATTATTATTCATACCATGAAAATTTTTAAAAGATTGCAAACATTTATCTTTATATAGAGCTACAAATTTATAGAACGAGAGTAAATAAATAAGTGAATTTGACATGAGCCATTTTGCATGACAAACACAAATCATAAAAAAAAACTTTTATTAAGTATAAATTGTCACACACATGTGCAATTGTATACCAGCTGTTCTCGATATAACGTTCGTTGGTTTGGAATTTAAAAAAATTTTATGGCAACAAAATTATTTGAATGTTTCTGCTGATAATTTTATATCAATTTTTATGATTCGTAAAAAATTTAAAAACAAAATCTGGGGTGTGATTAGTGTTTTTAAAATTTTACAATAAAAACAAAATAATTCAAAGGTCAAATTGTGTTCTCTAAACTTTGTAGCTTTTATAAATTAACAATCATAGAATATCAATATTTATAACTAATTATAATAGAGTTTCCCAATGATTAAAAACTTCTTCACCTTGAATTAATAATGTGAGTGAACTTTATTATCAGATTTTATTTTATTTTTATATCGCCATACTCTTACTTCCGTATTTCGTATATTGTATAATTAATAAGAAATTATTAATATGAATGTATTGGTATATTGTAAAATATATTAATTATAATTTGTATTTTAGCATTATTGAGTTGCATCTAGACTTACTCAATTACGAAACTTGATACTTGATATTTGTACGATGAAATTAAATCTACTCGTTACGGTAGATCGAATTAAGACATATGAATGAATGGTTAGAATGTCATCTACAAGGTCGCATTTTGATGAAAAAGTAGTAGAAAAGTTTTGAAAAAAATTATTGTAAAAAACGATATATTGACAAAACGATATTTCAGATTATGTATCCAACTCTGTTTTTAAACTACTTAATTAAAAAGTTTTTAATTTCAGATAAAACATTACTTATTTTTGTTTTTCAAAATTTATTGAAGCTATTAAAATTAAAATATTTTTATTAACCTAAAAGATTAAATCAAATACAAAATTTGTTTGAAAACTAAATTCTTGCATAATTAATGCAAATTAAAAACTAATCCTACGAAAACTTTAATTCATCAATATAAAAATTTTTTTTAATTTTACACCAAGATAATTGTAAATTCCTTTGATTCAAGAAACTACTGTTTTTAATCCCATGATAAGAATTACTATCATATGTCGGCGTTATGAAGTCCAACAACACTTTTTGAATTACTCAAAAGAAGAAGCCTGTATTTGTGCATAAATGTTACAATCAATTTAAATTACCAAAAAATTTCAACTGATTTGGGTTCAGAAAATTTTTTCAAATGGCTTCAATATTATTTTACAAATTAATTTTTAAATTCAACCTGTTCTATACTCCAAAAAGTTACATCAGATTCCAGAAATACGATCGAACTTTGAAAGTAATAACTTTTTAATTTCTTCTTTATATTTGAATAATTATGCGATAAAAAACAATACGCCTGGTTATTATCTTGTACAAAAAATGTTAAAAGTAAACAGGTTTTATTGTGTTTGAATAGTAGTGATTCCTATGTTCCGTTGTGTTACAAAGCACTCACTACAATTATCAAACAGAAAATCTTTCTTATTTTCAACATATTATTGACTACTGTACAGAATATTAAATAGTCATTCTTCTTTTTTTGGGTAAATTCATGATTTCTATCGACTGAATATTACGATAGATAAACGTTCATGGAAAGAAAAGGTCAAAATTTTTTTTAGTTTTCTCAAAAATTTCATATGCATAATTTAAATCTTGTTTTTTTAAACCTCATAAAACTTCAAAAATGATCAACAGTAATATTTTAGAACTCTGAACTGTAGAATAACAGAAAATTTAAAAACTGGATCATTAAGTTAACAATTTTTCAAATTTTTTTTCAAAAGTTTGAGTCTAATGATGGATAATAAAATTATCGTTTATTTATAAAAAGTATCTTAATATATTCTTAGAAAGTAAAGCTTAATTTCAATTTATCTACAAAAATTTCAGACTGTTGATTTTGATAAAATTTAAGCATTCAACTTAAAAAAAAAAAATCAGTGCGTCAAATATTCATCTTTTTGATCAAAATGTTTCATTTATTCCAGCAGTCAATAGATAAATGACTTGAAGATATTTTTAGTTAATGAAGAAAAAAAGAACTACAATCTTGACAATAAATCAGTTAATTTATTTCAAGTACGCGATTCGTCAAGCTACTATTTTAATGAGTTTATTTTCTAATTTTTTTGCTGAATTATTCTTGTTTGGAGAATGAGATAAGTTTATAAATTTTAATTAACATAAAGTAACTATTGAAGTTTCTATAATTTTACCTATACATCTCAGATGATCACTATTTACTAATCTGATTTATTAAGTCAAAGCAATTTTTTTAGAGATTTAAAAATTTTTTATGTAGATAAAAAAATATGAAAATCACGTTTTAATCGAAATCACGTTTTAATCGAAATCACGATTTTTAGGCGAGAGTAGAGCATACCTACGTGCTTCGTGTTTAAGGCATGCAATAAATTATTTATATATATATATATTTGATTCTAACTCACCATCCATTGCGTTAGCATGTGGAAAAAGATCGCCTTCAGCTCTAATATGGTCAAATTTTTCAACCAGTAATTGCCACCTGAAAGTTATAAAATAGTAGTAAAAGTCATGTATATTATCATCAAAAATATCAAATTAACGAACTTACTTTGCGGAAGGTAAGTTATGATTACGTTGTAAATCATTACGAAATCTTTCACCAACGTGTCTATAAATATTGACAACAGTATTAACAGCCGTCTCGCGAACTTTCTCATTAGGGTCTGATAGGAGTTTTACAATACTCGGTATCACTGAAGATAATGACAACGAATCCGCACCGTGTCTGTAATTAAATCAAATACATTAGTAATTTAAATACATTACATTTGTTTCAAGATTAAAAAATCAAAACTATCGTATTTAAATGTATAAAAAAAAAATATTGTTATTCATTTATGCCAAAGCACAAGCCACGTGGCAATTTATATAGTAATTTAAATTATGATTCAAAATATAAATTAAATTCAACTTACTCAGCCAAAATTGTTGTTAATAATAATAATGATTCTTCTCTTAATTTAGCATTTTTATGAATAAAGGTTGGATGAATTCGATCCAATAATGATTGTGGTATCATACTTCCTTTTTCGAGAATCTTTAATAGTACCAATCTTGCCTTTTCTCGTGTTAGATCTTTACTATCACCTGAAAAGAAATTATAAATAATTAATTATTAGATTTTAAAGTAATAATTGTTTTTAAAAAAAATTTTTTATTGATACTAATGTAAATAATGTAAAATAATTAATACGATTCATACCTAATCTATCAATTGTAGGCTGAATAATCGATGAAATATATGGCTTAAAATCATGTCCCATCCGATCTGCAATTTGTGTGAGTATTTCCAATCCATTTTGAACAATCTGAAACATTAAAAAGTACGTATTTTATTTATAATGTTAACATTTTTCATTTATGATTATTTGTTAAAACCATTATCCTTTTACATTTATTTTATGGATTTAAATCTATATTTTTTGCTATTAATACCACATAATCAGAAGATTTTAATTATCGATAAAAATAAAAAAAAATATTTCTTGAATACTTTTTTAATTAGAGCGATTGTTGTATATTTAATAAATGTAATACAATATTTGAAGTCATTAGATGTATTTAAATGTTACTTGAACAGAGATTTTATTATTATTTTAAAAAAGAAAGAGTAAAGGAAGATACAGCAAGTGAAGCCTATTTTAGATATCTCGGGGTAAACGGTCGGGAATGCGTACGTTTACTTATTATTTTCTTTTACTCTAGTTTGGCCCTTATAAATAAGCTTCACAATCTATGTTTAAAACTCTAACATAATTATTCAAATATCTTGTAGAAATAAAATTAATTGTCAGATCTGTTAAAACATGTAACACAAATAAGGAATGACTAATAGTTATCACCATTGAATGAAAATAAAGAAAAAAAAACATGGCAAATAAGATACAAAATAAGACGAAACAAAAAAACAATGATTCGTAACTTTATTACAAGGCCAATACAATTATTTATATAACCTTGACATCGATCCATCCAACTAAAAATACAAATCAAAAAATTACGATTTTTAAATGACTAATTTATTTCAAGTATAATAATTTAATAATAACATTGCTGTCTTTAAATTCTCAACACTGTATTTACTTTGAATATAAAAAGAACAATCAAAACAAACATAAATATTAAGTTTTCAGACTAATGAACAAAGTAATTTTGGTAAAATTTTAATACAATATTTTGGGTAATTTTTTTTATTGAGAATAAAATACTAAAAAACATTTTTTTTTTCATTCAACAAAAAATAAATTAAATTACTCATCAAAATTACTTTAAATTTGTGCAATATTTATATTTTTTTATTTAAAAAAATAATCAATTTGGATCAATAAAAGAAAAAATAAAAAAATATGTTCATTTAAACGGAATTGAAAACAACTTTTTGTTTCTACAGCAAAAATGGTGTGAAAGTTTTTTGTCCTTATTAGTACAACAAACGTAACTGTTACATATAAGGAATCACACGTTACTCTACGTCAATAAAAAGTGTATCAATTATCACATTTACTTTACAATACTGTTAATTCGTAAGTACTAATTAGGAGTAAAATGATGAATAAATTAAAAAATAATATATACAAATGTACAGTATATGAGTCATGGTTTACTATAAATTAGTAATAAAATTGAGAGAATAGAAATAAAAATATTAATACCTTAGCGTTTCCATTATTCAACCAAGGAATAACATTATCGATAAATAATCCAATATCTTGACACTCAATGCTGTTATTTAAATCACCAAGATACGTTAATAAATTATTACCAATTAACATTTTAGTTTTAATATCGCTGGTTGATAGTAAAGGCATAAAGCCATCCATATCTCTAGGATTAAACGTCATCGTCACCGCCGAAAAAAAAATACTTCTTTATTTTACCACACAATTATAACCACAAGATAATTTATAAATTACTAATTAATAACTTTACGATAACTCAATTATTGAGATCATTATTATTCACTGTAATGATAACTTGTTTTCATTTTTTTCAAACGTATAAATAAATTATTTTTGATACCGAATCCATTGGCTTCGATTCGATTAATTGAGCAATGACATTGTTATATGGGTCACTAGTAAGAATATAAAAAAATTATTATTAGTAATTATCATTAGGGATAATCTATCATTTAAAAAAAAATTTCATCTACTGTTGAGTTATAACTTATTACTTATGATTTACAATAAGGTTAACAAATCCACATTTTAATATCCAGTCATTTCACGGTTTTTGGCAATCACTCAATAATAAAATTTTGTTTTTGGACTTCTTAATATCAACTTAAAAGCACTTTCACTGAAAATAAAAAAATATTATCTTCAATTATGGCTATTTATTCATTTACTTGGATGGTTAAATTCAATTAATTAAGGTTAACAACATAGTTATTTATTTTTATTTGTACGAAAAATTTGTCGCAAACTGTACACTCTGTAGACGGAGAAAAATGAGAATAAATGAAATAAAAAAAGACGAGATATATTTAAATTTGACAACTTGATTTTTTTGATTTAATTAATAAATTAAGTGATTTTAAGGTGACTTTCACTTTTGAAGGATAGTTTAATAATAATTTATTAATTTATTACGTTTAATAATACCAATGTGGGAGTTTACGTGAATTACAAGTAAAGAAACTTGCGGCACCCAACGCCATTTTGAACAACTTTGTTACTATTCTACTGTATGGTTATTTTTATTGGCCCTTATTTGGATCCATAAGAAATAAACTGATTTTTGTGTCAAGTATACATGGTAGATGGCGTAAAACGCTGTTGCCGTCTCCACCATCGGTTGCCATGGTGACGCTAAATTGTATGTTTTTACCCAAGTAATGTAAGATTTGCAATTGTTTGCGTAAGAATTTTATTAAAAGAAGAAAAAATTTGAACAATGTATTCGTTATGTTGAAAAAAATTTTCAGAAACGCTGGTAATGATTTTTTTTTCAACGATGTTGGCGAACTATCAATTTCAGATACAAGATAATTAATGATAATAATGATGTTCATGACTAGATGTGTTTTTTATTTTGGGTGTAAGGTAAAAGCCTCAGTACCTACTCAAGAACCAGTACCTGCTCACTCCATGTATTTGTAAATCTATATTCACAAATGCAGATATCCAAATACATGGAGTGAGCAGCTACTGGAGCTCTTACCTTATATATGAATATAATTTTTATTCTTTCAGTTAGTAAAATTACATCCAAGAGTTTTTATATTTTATTTTTTTTTTTTTTTGAGTTTACACTCTTGAACCAACTAAAATTTACTTAAATTAAACCGAGAAAGATTTTTTAGTTAACGAATTTTTCTAATCAAATCGAGACGATAAAGTTCTTCAAAATTATTTTCTTGATTCAAGTTAACTTTTTTTTTTAGTGTAGCAAAAAACCGACTGCCCACTCAATTTTTTTTTTAATTAAGAAATACAAACGGAGTGCTTGTTTCATTCAAAGTTGTATGTCGTACAAAAAAGTCAATTTATGTAAATTGAATCTGTCATCGTAACTAGATTTATAATATTCCAACACAAGAATGATGAGTTTATAAAATTTTTCATAATGATCTGACAATATCGATGAATATTTTTCAGAATGTTACTAAACTTCTATTATCTCAGTTAATTTTAACTATGCAATAAATATAACATTTTAATATTGTTCCTTTTGTTATTACTTGAATAATCATCAATAATATTTGAATGATATACATGTAATAATCGTGATAATAAGTCCAACAATCGCAATAACAATATAAATATAAAAAACAATCAAATAAAACGATTTATATACACAGAAAAAAAATTATCTTGAATCAAGAAAATAATTATGAAAAATTTCATCTTGATTTGAGTAGAAGAATTTTTCTTTTAATTTAAGGTAATTTTTTTTTTTCAGTGTATACTTGCACGAATTCACTTTTTTACACATTTTTTGTTTCCTTATGGGTTTATGTATTCTAAAAGGATTGATACTTAGATATAATGAAGACTTGGAAAATTTTATTAACGCTTAGTAGTAGATATTATTAACGCATTAATGTCTATTACCAGTATATTCTTTAGAGATGAATAAACTAAGACCCCGTAATTCTTTGAAGATAACCATTAGATTTTAAAGCATCCAAAAATTACAAAAAAAAAAAAATTTCTTTAGCTAATTTGATATTAAGTTGCAAGACATTGGAAAGTTCAAAATTATCAGTACAAGATCTAATGAAAATATTTTTATAACGTTAAATAATTTACAGTTGTATTAAATAGACATTAATTAATTTAATTTATTGAGTAAATCACAAAAAATCTTACCGATAAATCATTGCACTTATTTTTTGCTTAATATTAACTTCTATCTGCTTGAAAATTAGTTAGATTTCAAAATAACTTAAACTGTTCATATTTAATAAACATTTATTGATTTCTTAAGTTTAAAATAAAAATTTCAGTATTTTTAATTGAAAATGAAAATAATTAAAGGAAACAATGGTAAAATCAATGTGAAGTACAATATTTTCGTAGATAAATTAAAAAAATCTTTTGATTATCTCTTCTGATCATCACTTAATTAGACATTAACTGATTGCCAACGATTACCTCGAAGGCTATAGACTTTTTCCCAAATTGAAAAAATTTTAATTGCTTCAGCACAACAGTAAAGATCAACATATTCTTCTAAAACTTTTAACATATTGTTCAAATCTTCTACAACTGCTTCACTGTCTTCAATTATGTCATCATTCCCAAACATGAACATTTTAAAATATTTATTTAAATTTTTCAGTGCCTTGTGAATTCGAGCGTTTGCTAGTGACCCTAATCCTGTAAACTGTAATTTAAAGAATCTTGATTATATTTAAATATAAGAAATTATATATACATACAAATAAAATATTAACTTTCCTTACCATGTAAGATTCAGGTCCATGAGCATTAAGACAAACATCAGTACAAGCTTCACATTTGCAAACAAAAAAAAATCTTCGTTGTAAATAAGTTTGTCTTGAACGTTTATCTCTTATATGAACGTAATGCATCCCGTAATTGTCAAAAATCTAAATTCACAAAAAATTAATGTTAATAATTAAAACGTACGGTAGAATTAGTTTGAGCAAACTTACTTGTTGATTTTTTTTAATAACACGCGTTGAAATCGCAGCAATTTTGTTTCCAAAGCCACCCAAAAAAACTGAAGGAACACAACTATGATTGAATAAGCTAAAAAAAGGCATAAGTGCGCTTCCATGTTCATGAGGAACGAGGCTCAAACTTTCTTCACTTCTCTGTAAAGTACAAGAAATATTGAGATTTAACCAATGGAGAAAACGAATTAAAACAATATATGTAATGAATTTCTGAGTAAATAAGTTTTACTGATGCAAAAATATAGTAAGAATCGTTGAAATTTTCTGAAATTTGTTATTTTTTAAATTAAAATTGTATATTGACTTAGACGTAAAAATTTGTAAAAAAAAACATAAAATTCACATGCCATATGTGCATTATTTGGAATAATTTGCTGATGTCTCATAATCAATCCACCAACAAAAGTAAACCATTGATGGTCTTTCAAATTTCCTAAATCACCTGATGGTAATATTTTACCAAAAATTTCAGTTTTTTTAGCAAGTACAAACGTTATGTAAGCAGCCTTGAAAGATCTTTCAAATAGATCATCATTAGGTCTATTTTCAGAATTTGTTTCCAGTGTGTAAACACTAGCGTATTTTTTATCATCTAAAATCTTTCCAGTAAATCCTCGAGTTCTCGGATCTGAAAATAAAAAAAGGAAAAAAAATATATATATTTTAGTTTCACTATAATACTTATAAAAAATAAAAAAAAAATATAAGTATATATAATAATTACCAGTTAACGAATCAATTACTTTAAGGTGATTCTTTAATACTTTTAAATCTTCTGTTTCCTTGTAGGCTGTTACAAGCAATCTCAAACTCATCAATCCAAGATTCTCCATACCGACCTCAATCAAAGGACCAACTACTTGGCATTCAATATCATGATGTTTAATCCAAGCTGCTTTTCGACAATTTTCTGAACAATAAATTGCGTAGACACACTTGTCACAAGGAATTCCTGACCAAGTTTGTTTCATACAGTAAATGCAGTGACTGTAAAAATTTTCAGGAAATAAATTAGAGACATATCCTTGTTGGACTGCCAGAACTTCGCCAGGTTCAATATCTCGCGTAGCAACAACATGTCTTCCAAATTCTTCAGAATACACAAGTTTGATAGCAGATGATGCACCCGGAATTTCTTCATTATCGTTCGGCACTTGAGGCAAATTTCTGTTGCCATCTAATTTTATGAATTCATTGTTTTTTGATACTGATTCATCTGAATTTTGTGTGGTTTTCTTAACAATTTTCATAGTCTTAGCGTTCAGATCTACTTTTTCTAATTGCTTTGAAGCTTGTTCCAGTTCCCGAAAATTTCTTCTCTCTGGGGTTGAATTTGGTGAGTCCAATATCTCACGACAGCGAACTTTCCGTGCATCAAGTTTAATTTTCAATTTTTCTGGACAACCAACCAGTAGAGCATGTTCAATATCATCAATGCAGTCGCGGTAAAGCCTCGCTTTAAACAAAGCCAATGATCTGTTGGCATACGCCAGTGATAAAATGTATGAATTAGCCGGTGCGTATGCTACACTCTTTGTATATAATTTAATAATTGAATCAAGATCCATTGTCTTACCACTTTTTTTTTGCGAAATGTAAAGTTTGGTAGCTTTTTCGTTGTATTGAGTAGCATCAGATTTATTTTTCTCTTTTCCATTTATTTCAAACTTGATGTCATTTTCTTTAAAAATATTCATTGTAAATTTTACTCTGTCTTCGTCGGTTTTTAAAAGTGAATATTTTTGTTCGAATTCCTTGTACTGATTTTTAGCTTTCAATTTTTTATATAAATTATCAAGCAAGACTTCCATTATAATAATAGAATTTATTAAAATTCTTACGGTCACTGTAGATTCGGTATTATTAAATACCAGATATCGTTACTACTTGAACTTGCACTCTAACTGCGCACACTGTAGAATATGATTTATATTATGGTTATAGTTATTCTTCGGAATTGTTTTGTTTTTTCTCATATTTCATGCCAACGGAAATAAGTTGAACGAATACACAAACCCATTGATAGAGAAAAAGAGAGTAAAATTTAATCAGTAGGATATTGAGGGCCAGTTTTTCAATCCGAGATAAAAGTACTGTCAATATATAAAAAAAAAAAAAAAAAAAAAATAAATAATTTAGCGACGTGAATTTGGTCATTTATTTAAATAAAAAATAAATATATCATAAAAATAATAATAACCTCTTATTGTGTCATTTAAATTATTTTAAATTAATTAACACAATTGAGGAGTTAAGTTTCAAAAGGGTATCTTTTCATTTTTGTTTAATCGAGATAAAAAACTGAATATCTTCAATTATAAATATTTTTATTGAACTTTTTTAATTTAACAAAGGCAAAGGTTTCTTTATTTTATTTTATTTTATTTTTTATTTTTTTTTTTTTTTCAATAAAAAAAAAACTAAATCAAATTGAGAACAAGTAACTCTTGGGATTTTTTATGACATTAAAGTTAGCAGTCACTATAGAATTTTTAAATTTTTATTAACAAACAAATTTGTTCAAAAAAAAATGTCAATTTTTTTTCAAATTTTTTTTGCCATAATTTATTTTAAAAAAAATTATTAAATCCATCTTAGGTCCCATTTTATTCCTTATCATGATAAATATGGTGTTGCAAAGAAGATAAATTATTCCAAATACGGTCTCTTTGCAGATGACAAATAAATTTATGCTTATTATCATTTCAATTGTACTCAATTACATAAAGCAGCTTTCAAAATAAATACTGATGCTCAGGCTGTAGCTGATTGGGCTAAAGATGTTGGTCTTGAATTAAATTTTCAAAAAACTAAGGTTATGATACTGGGTAGTAGCAGGAAATTGAAGTGGCTGGATGACTATGATCTTCCTCAAATTACTGTTGATGGGAATGTTATTCCATATGTCAATTCAACTAAACATCTCGGGGTTCATATATAACAAATAATCTCTCTCGGGATGTACATGTGGCTCATACCACACGCAAGGTTTATGGTACATTAAATAGCCTCAAGTCTAGGAAGAACATACTGTCTACAGCAAATCGTAAATTGCTCATTACAGCCTTGATTATCCCAATAATTGATTATTGCTCTTTGGTATTGATTGACAATTCCAAAAGACTTGACTATAAACTACAGCGCTTGGTGAACAACGGCATCAGGTTTATCTACATCAATTTGAAACGTGATGACCATATCACTCCTCATCGTCGCTCCTTAAAATGGCTTTCAATCAAATCAAAAAGACTTTATCTTTTAACCTGTTTCTTATACAAATTATTCAGTTCTGGTGAACCAAGTTTTTTGAGATGTCTTTTTGTTGATGAGCCACAAGACATCAGACGCTCGGAAAGGTTGGCTTCAAAAAGTACAACAATGTCTCTTTCTGCTTTCCAAATTTCTCGACATCAGTATACGAGCACTCCTTTTTAATCTCATCAATACGCCTTTGGCGTGAAATTCCACCAGATGTCATAAACTCACTCAGCATAGAGGCATTTAAATCAAAAGCCTTTGAATTCTTCTATATATGAGCTTGAACTCAGGGAGGCCTAGGGATCAAAGTCTGCTAATTCTATTTCTTAAAATAATTTACATTATATATTGATATTTACAATACAAAACTATACTGCTCTGATCTATGATTATTTATATTTTTATATTTTTTCTTTTTTTCTTATACTGTTATATTGTGTCAAATCTTTAATTTGAAAATGACTATGTTTATGGTTTTACATGTACTTTAAATCATATTTCTTTTTTCTTTTTTTTTTTTTGTATTTTGCCATTTGGCTTTTGCTTTGGCATTGAAATTTAAATAAATAAAATAAATAAATCCCAAGCGTCACAAAAAAAATGTTGACTTTTTGGTAGATTTCACTTAGCAAGAAGTTAAAAAATTAATAATCGTCAACTTAAATTCAGCAAAACATTAACAAAAAAAAATTTGTGCCGCTTGGAATATCTTCTAAATTTATTTTGATGATTTTTTTTGATAATAAGTAATTAAAATAGAACAAAAAAATATTTTTTAAAAATATTGCACTTACAGTTTTTTAAGTTTTTTTCAAATGAAAAGTTTTTTTTATTTTTTTTTATTTATACTGCATAATTTTTATATTTCTCATTAACTATAAATTAAAAAAATCGCACGACTTAATTTTAACCAATAATGAATCCGCACTCTTAACAACCAATAAGGATTCCGCATTTTTTAATCTAAACAACTTCATTAGGTAGAGATCAACCGAATTTCGTTACTACAATCACTGTCCTTGGTTTAAAACTTGTATCTAGAAACATACCGGTGTTTCAATTGTTGTCTTGGAGCTGATCATCAATAATGAAGGTACACAATAAATTTATTTATTTATACGTATTCAAGTAAAATTGATGAATACAATTGTTATTTATTGTAAGTATATTTAATAATTATAACCATACGTTTGTAAACTATTTTAAAGTGCTTTTTTGTTTATAAATACGATTGAAGGTATCGTTATAAAATTGAAGATATGGAATCTCCGGAATTTTTTTGTAACAAATGTGTGCTCCCGATGGATGATAGTGGTCCACCATTCTCATTTACTCAGTGTGGACATATTTATTGTCATAAATGCATCACTAGAGGTGAGTTGTAAAAAAAATTTTAAACATTGATGAAAAAATATCAAATTTTGGACCCCAATAAATGTTTACTTTGCAGTCGGAAACCACTGTCCAACCTGTAATAACACTGGGATCCAATCAATGCCATTAGTGGCACCTTTACCACCATCTATTTCCAATTTGTTTGTTCCTTTATCTCAACTTAATGAACAATTGGAATCGCTTTCGAAATTTCAAAGCGGACAATGTGCGATTGCAAACAAGAGCTTTGAAAAATCGGTAATTTATATTTATTATTTTTGTAATCTGGTTATAATTTAAAACAACAATACCTATATTACAGCATACAAAATTCGAATTATTGAAAAAAGGTTATTGGGAAAATCGCAAACGTGTTGAACGAGAGAAGAAAGAGCTACTAATATTGCAAGAAAAATATGATAATTTAAAAGCAAGGGAAATGTATGCTTCTCACCAAAGTACTTCAGCTAACAACGCACAAGTTTTTAATTTTTCAAATGTTGATAATTTATATCAGCATCAAATCAATTCTAGTTCTGCTACAATCTCTACACGTAATTTACCTCAGCAACCCATGTCACGTCACCATAACCATCGGTTAGTTAATTTAAATTATTTATTCAATTTATTTTTATTCCGTTGTTTTTTGCTCATTATTAAATTATTTGTTGCGTATCACTAGAAATTATAATGACTCAAAATATCTTTATCCTGGATATAATACTACAGATTCAGGACATAACACAATAACGTCAACGTATCGAGGATCAACTACTGATACATCAGTTACTCCGGAGAATATTTTTCGTAATCCAAGGATAACTAAAGCACCAAGATCGAAGAAATCGACTTGAAATTGATTATTAAAATAATTTAAATTGATTAATATTTATTTTTTCATTCAGTTACTTTTTTATATTAATAATTCCATTTTTTTAAGAATTTCATTAGTTTATTAAAATTTGTTAACCAAAGATCATCATTTAAAACTGATACAAGTTTTTTAGTTGAAAATTAAAAAAATATTCACTATTATTTATGTACAAAATATATAACATTTAAATTATAATTCAATGTAAATATAATTTTAATATTATTATAACTAAATTTAAAATGTGAAATACTCAAATTATTATTTAATATACAGAAATTTATTTAGTGTTGAAAAATTTCTAAATAAAAATTGTAAAATTTATAAATTTTAAATTTTCTATCTTCACACAACTATTTATTTAATGAAACTATAAATTGTTATATTTTCATTAATCATTAATGTTTAAAATAACTTTATGGCATAATAATTTGATGATATACATAAATAAATTTATGTCAGTGTATTTATTGTCATCAAAATATGTATAAGATGGCATTTTTCATTAACTTCTAAGTTATTTCCAAGAGTCCTTTAGATAATCGTTATTACAGAGTTGTAAATGGTGAGGTGATAAATGTGCATTAATAATTGATTTATTTTTTTTATTTGTTTTTCGCTATAAATATAAGTCGACAAATTCATAGCGGAAGATCTATAACTGATGTGAGTTATCTTCTTCAAATCATAGCTTGCATTCAATTTAATTATCTGTTGAATCTATATAAAGTCTCGAAAAGTTGATTTCAAATATACTACACCTAGTTATAATGAGTTTAATAATTTGCATTTAATAGTTTTATAATTTCTGTTTAATAATCTTCGTATCTGCCTTAATCAATATATATTTACAACGCACTTTTTTTTACTTAATTTTTAACTAGTACATTTGTATATTAATAGCTTTGTTAAGTAAAATAAACGTCTAAGATATTTTGCTTCTTTTTACTTTTCGGCCATTGAAGAAAATCGGGGACCTTTTTTTTCCTTTTAATTTTTCTGCCATGAAGGGAAAGAGGCGCTGAAAATGCCACTGTCTGCTGCCGTTTTTTTTAACACTCGCGGGGATTCAAACTTCGAACCCAAGCCTGTCCGGCCACTGTGAATATGATATATACTTATCAGTCACAGTGACTGTTAATTAATTAAATTATACTTGAATTTACAGAAATTTATTGGTGTTGAAAAATTTGTAAATAACATATAAGTAAATAAAACATTTTTATAAATATAATTTTAGCTGATAATACATAATTAAAATTAGTGTATAAGAAGATAAAGTTGTTTGTTGTCTATTATTTTCTGTATTATCGTAATTGATAATTAAATTTGTGTGTCAAGAATTCCAAACTAAAAATAAACATTGTATAAATTAATTTTTTATAGATAAATTTTATGTGTAAGTTCCGCTCAAAAAATTTAAGAACGAAAACTAAGAAAAAAAAAGTTAATGGAAATTTTAGATAAGTTTATACTTAGGCGCTTTTCTTTGAGCCTGTAAAAATTTATACAAAAGCGTTAACATTAATACCATTCTGTAAACAATTTAAGAATAACTTGATGTAGTAATTCTCATATTTTATGTATATCTCAAAAATTTTGAATCAAAACTTCAGTAGCCTGAAGTTTAAGACAACCTTAATTTAAAAAACAACACCAACTTCTCATGGTAGGTAATTGGATTGGTGTTAAATGTCTACTAGGTGTTAAAATGATCATATCACATGAATTGACAAGACACGTAGGATCCTTGATGGCTTCAATAAATCAACAGATTACCCACTTTTTTCAATTTGGTACTGTAATAAGGTAGGTAAAATTACACAGATCTTCTCCTGAAGATAGTAAAGCGTTTTTAGGTTCTCATGAAGATATCCAGTCGCTCAAAATAACTTCAGGTGTCTAGCAAATTTTGAAAAGCAAACAAAGAGATCCTGCAAATAAATCTTACACGCTGTAACTAATCCTCCTCACCAATTAAAAAAAAAATAAGTATTCACTTGATGTTAATCATAATCTATTAAATTTGGCAATTATCTATTAAAATTTGTTAGACTTGATAACTTATTTTCTTCTCGATTCTTACAGCATTTAGGAGCTAAATGATATGATTTTAAAAAACATTCACACTTTTGAATTACTAAAAAAAATTTACAATAATACTCAAAACTCAATTTATTACTTAAATCAAAATATTTATACGAAATGTAAAAAAAAATGACTTATATTTGATGACTTGAAATGGTTTTATGACGCATAAAATTTATTTTCATAAAAACTCAAAGTAAATTGGCATATTGAAAAATAATAATAAATTATTGACATTTTGTTTTGTAATAAAAAATTATCTTAAAATTACTTTGCAATAAGATCACCCGTTTGATAAATAAATAAAATATTTAAAAGAAAGAAAAAAAACTTTTTTTGCGATAAATTGATAAATATACTGCTTATATACATTTAATTACAATCATATATCATACAATATAATACAAGTATCAATTACTCATGATGAGGTGCATTAAATTAGCACTGTATACGATTTTTATAGAACGATATCGATTCGCGTATTTCCTATTTAACATATTCAATATGATTATAAATTATTTTTAAATATAATTGAACTATAGTGATAATTTATTATTTCTGATTTTCTACTTCTCTAAAATTATGCTACATTCGAATTTTTATCAGTTATTCATAATAATTTATAATATTAATTGAATATTATTAGCATTTTCTCTATATTTTAAATTACTTAAAATAACGTCATAATTTATAATAAATAATATTTTTTAATAGTATGTTTATAAGGTACTCTAAGTTACGAATCACAAATTTAACGACTTTTTGTTGATTAAAATAATGTTCATTGCAATTTTTTGTTTTTTTTTTTTTAAATTAGAATTTATTTTTTCTATCGATTATTAAGTTAATTATTTGAATAATTTTTTTCCTATCCTATATACATATGTATCAATGACGGTAGAATATTTTAAATTCTAAAAGCAATTATATTATTTTTTGTTCAAATAAATAAATAAATAACTTAAAATTTAATAATATTGCTTAGTTTCAAATTTGTAGATAAATAGTTGGCTTCCTTAGAGAAAAAAGTTTCATTAAGTTAATCACTGGCCGGCAGAAGTTTTCTGGCAAGATAAATAAAAAAAATAAACTCTAAATAGTTTTCAACTATATATGAAAAAATGTTAAAGTAAATAATGATAACAATAAAAATATCAACGCGTTATACTTAATTTTGATGGAATGATAGAATACGGTTTTTTTTTCTTTTTTTCTTTTTTTATAATAAAATACTTCGTTTGCTTTTGTTATTGCTGTAATTGTTGTAAAAGAGGACAAACTTCAACTAAAGGCGTACCCAATACTTCTTGACATACTTGATTTATATCAGGTTCCATCATTAGTGACGAAATTTGATCTTCTGATAACATTTCCACACTAAAAAAATATAAAAAAAATGAAGAAATTACTCTGATAATTATATTAATACTAATCTTAATTCAATAAGAATCATTATAAAAAAAATTACCTAGCTAAACTTTCACTATCCGATGTTTCTTCATCAGGATTTAAATAATTCATAGTTTTTTCCAATGGACTAGGAACTTTGCCTTTTAAGACAGCAATCTTACTATCATGTTTTTGTACGAATTTATCATCATTATCAACTAATTTTGGTTCACTCGATCGTCTTTCAGTTAAGCTTGATATATTAAGCATCATCATTCCATGATTTAATAACTCTTTCATCCGTTCACCAGTACCAGTATTCCACAACATATCCAACGATTGTCTCCTTGCGGAATTACCTAAAAATAAAATTCGAAATATTAAAAAATTATATTTAATACGGTTAAAATTTCAATTAAAATTTTACCTGACGTGCAAGAACTTTCTCCATAAACAGCAGAATTTTTGGTAATCCAATTAGTTAAGCTGCTATCTAATTTTCCTCTAGATTTAGTTGACGGACTTCGAGTTATTTCTGATTTTTTATGCTCTCCAATAGTCATTTCATTGTTTTGTACCGTTGCAGGTAATGATTGTTGATGACTTAAACATTTTTTATTAATACGAGCATCTTTAGTGTCACTAGAACCACTAGTAACTATCATTGATTCTGGACTTAATTCACTAGGTAACGGTTTGTATGGAATTTGATCATCTTCATCTGAATACATCTCATTATTATAATAAATATCATCCGGTGAATTATTTAAACTTATTTCTGTCCATTTCTCATTATTTTCTGTATGATCAATATTTTTATTATTTTGTTGATAATTTGGATTTTTAATATCATGGTTCAATTTATTTGACGATGACTTTGACCGTTTTAATTGATTAGAACCAATTTGTGCTAAATTAGATGATGATGAAGATGACGATGATGCTGCTGCTGCTGCTGATGGTGATAGCGTTGTTATAACTTCTGATAAACGTGGAGTTGATACGCTGGTTTTTTGTGGTAATTGAGTGTTTTTTATTGTTGATAATGATGCTATGCTTTGAGGCCTTTTACGTTTTATGTATTTTCTTGGTTCCGTTGATGAAACATTCACATTATTTAATCCTAAGTACTCTGTCGTGTTTTGAACCTTGAATGAAAATGTTTTCTTTTAATTTTAAATGACTTAATATCAAATGAAAATTAAATAAAAATAATTATTACTTTGTTAGATATTGAAGATGTTGGACTTATTTTATCAGGAAGACGTAGATATTCATCGCTCGTATAATCTGTACTATCTGGAGATCCTGTTATGCTTGACTCTGTAGAAGATTCTGAATTTTTTTTATTACTATTTTTTAGATTATTTTCTTTGGGATCTCCACTATCGTATTGTCTTGTCTGTTAATTAAAAAAAAAATTTTAATTAATACTATAATGAATTTGTGAATATATATACAATACAAATTATAACTTTAAAAAATGTTATGAGAGATCTTAATAATACTTGATGGATTATAATAAATCTTTAATACTTACTCGATGAATTTCATCGCTTATTTTTTCAAGATTACGTAACGCTTCGGCATATGTCATCTTTGCTTCTCCGACTGATCGTTCTAATTCACTCACGCGCAATTTTTGTTTTTCTAATGCTTGATGAAACTGGGCTTTCATTTCATAGTACGGTCTGGAAATTTAAAAATGAAATAGTCAAAATATCGATTAATCTTACTATTATTCGAAAATCTACTGAAATTTATCGTTTAAATTATAACTCGAAAATTAAGTAATACTAATTTAATTTAGTGAGAATATAGTGAATATAAACATGCGGCAAAAATATGTCAACGTGTAAAAAAAAAAAAAAATAACACTAAAAAAAGGTGAAAATGACAGGCTGAAAATTATACTTTTTCCGTCAGATTTTAATATAACTTACTATTCTACTTACAATAATAGCAAGTTGTGTCGGTAGGCAATACTATTTATGAGAAGCAAGCTGCGTCGTGCACCCAAACTGTCAAGATGAATATAAAAACGAAAAAAAAAACAAAAGAAATAAATAAAATATACTCTACAAAACATAAAAAAATAATACAGCATTGATTTTTATAATAAATTATATAAAAGTTACTGATTATAAATCATCAAATCTAAAACGCACAATATTTGTTTTTTATTTTAAAAAGAGAATAAAAAATTGATAATTTTCAAATCCACATGCAAGCATTCAAAAAACATTTAAAATTAATATTAAAAGGTTTATAATTTTATTGAATTAACTAACCTTGATTTAGTAATGGATCTTTTTAAATCTGATTGTAGTCGTTGGACTGTGTGTTCTGCGTTATGATAAAGTGCAGTCATATGTCGATGTTCAGACTCTGAAATAGCCCGTTCGTGTTCAGATTCATTGACTCTTTCAGTTGCGTGATTTAACATTTCCTAAAAAAATAATATGAAATTAAATAGTAATTAATTTTTTTTAATTAACCATTGTTAAGGGGCCATGAAAGAAGATTTGATAACATTTTTATGAGATAATTTTTGGTGCATTGTTTTGAGCTAAATTTTGGACAGATTTTAATAAAATTTAAACCACATATAAAAAATAGAATAATAAAAGCAGGAAACTAATTTATTTATGAAATTTTTACAAAAAAAAAAAATGAATTCAAAAGAAAAATCGCAACTTTATACAGCCTACAGAAATCTACGTCGAAATAATGAAATTTTGTTTATTTTATGGAAACAATGATTATAAAAAAGAGTTCCCTGCATTCTTTGTCACTACTTAGTAATAAAAAGTTTATAAAACCGATTATTTATAATCACAATTATTAATAATAATGCACCGAATGTACGATAATTACATGTATAATGCACCGAATGTAATTATCGTACAACTGACAATTTTTTTAATTTTTATAACTAATCAATTAATATAAAATTTCCACAAATAATTTTTTTTTAATTTTCACATGTGGAATTTTTTATATAAAAATTTAATTGCTGAAAATTCTAAAAAAAATTTTACAATGTCTGTCAACTTCAGTATCATAATAAATTTATTTTTTTTAAAACAATTTATTAAATATAAATTAATTTTGTTTTAAAATTTAATAAATATATTTTTTTTAATAAAAATAAATTTATTGTCAATTAATAATAATAAAAAAATTTTTATTTCCTCAGGGAATTATAGGTGACGAAGGTTTCCAAGGCCCTGATGGTTACGCCGGCTTACCTGGGCTCCCAGGACTGCCGGGAGATCAAGGTCCAACTGGTCGACCAGGCCCTCCGGGAGAGTTCCCAGAGCCTGGAGAGCCAGGTATGCCGGGACTGAACGGCATGCCGGGTCTCCCAGGTCGTCCTGGCCAGAAGGGAGCGCCAGGAGAATATGGACCTGACGGGCCCAAGGGAATTCACGGAGAGCCTGGAAGAAGTATTCCTGGGCCGAAAGGTGTGCATGGAGATCAAGGACCTCGTGGTTATGAAGGACGCCCAGGAACTCCGGGTCCAAGAGGGCTCGAAGGCTTCCCTGGAGAACTCGGGCCCAAAGGATTCCGCGGAGAGCCAGGGTACTCAAGCTACGCACCAAAGGGTGAAACTGGAGATGTTGGTTTTCAAGGTCGAGATGGAAAACACGGCGTTAAAGGAGAAATCGGTGGCTCTGGCAGAGATGGATCTCGCGGGTATCCTGGCTTGAAGGGAGAGCAAGGAGAGTCTGGATTCCCAGGTCTTCCTGGACTTCCTGGAGCCGATGGACCTAAGGTGATTATTCAATTTATTAATTTACTATTTTTTATTTAAATATATTAATAGTAGCAACCTTGCAGTCACTATGGGACTGCCGGGACTTGTGAACTATAAATAAATAAAATTTTGCTGTATTAAATAATGACTTTTGTTAAATTGCCATGTACTTTCTTAACTATAGATGGTTTTAAAGATATAAGCTCATCCCGATGTTACACTCATCAAGAGCTTTCATTTGAGTACCCACACGCATTTTGATATATTTTTTATATATTCATATATATCCTGCTTTTATTATTCTATTTTTTATATGTGGTTTAAATTTTATTAAAATCTGTCCAAAATTTAGCTCAAAACAATGCACCAAAAATTATCTCATAAAAATGTTATCAAATCTTCTTTCATGGCTCCTTAATGAGATAATGATTATTTACCTGCCAAGCATGATCAAAACATCTTCCTTCCATCCTAAGGCCTTCCTCTGCTAGATAAACCATTTCTTTAGCAGCCGCATGCTGCCCATTAGCTCTTTCAAATCTGATAGCTGCTTTTTGTGCGTCTCGAAGTGCCTAAAGAAATAAATTCAATAATTACGTAATCTAATAATGAATTATTGAAGCTTATTAATTAAATATTATTGAATGCCAATTAATCATTAGAAATGAATCTATGTAAAAGAGTAAATATTGCTTTGTTCATGATTAATTAAAAATCAGTGCAAATTGAAATTCAAATTGTAATAGATAATGAATTGTCTATTAAAAATCATTTATTCAAACTAACTTCTTTAGCTTTAAATCGAGCGTCATAGTAAGGTCGTGATTTATCAATACAGGTACCAAGCTTTTTAGCTAAAGTATCAATTGTCATTGTTGATTCACATAATAATTCTCTAAATGTTGCTCTTGCTTCCTGTAAACATAAAGAGAAATTATATTTTTATGAAATGAAAATAGATAATCAGTTTAGAAAATTTTAAAGTTAATATTTATGATGCGGAAATTAAAAGACGTTCAACAATTTTTGTTATAATTTTTTATACCGGCTTTCATTAGTAAGAAAATAACACAAAACATATCATCAGTATCTGTATCATTAATATTTAATGAGAATAAAAAGTAATCTAGTCTGCTCTTTTAAATACATAATGTTTTGAAAAAAAAAAAAAAAAATTATAAAAATATTTTTTTGAAAAAATTACTTTCACTTTTTCAAATGTGAAATTCCAAAACAAATTTTTTTATGTTTGTTAAATGAATCCTAAAAGTTGTCAGTCTTTACTGATTTCAGTATCATAAAAACTCAAGTAATTGAAAGATAAATTTAATACAAAACTAATACTAATTCAATACTGTCGTTTGAATAATTAAAAAATACTTACATCTAAATCAACCTCAAGTTTATTAATGTTATCAGTAGCAGTATTTAATCTTTCAAGTTCAATCTGAAATAAAAATATATTTATTATAGTTAGATACAAGTGTATTCAAAATTTTTTCAAATAGATTTTAATCAATAAAATAATTTGAATAAATGACATTTTCTAATATTCGTAAAATAATGATTTTTTTATTACTTGCACTCGGGGATCTACTGCATCATCAACTTTGTCATCGTCGTTGGCACTTTCTGTCGGATTATGTTCACTCATAATTCATTTACTGTGATTTTTATTTATTCAATTTTTATTATTTGTAGTTATATTAACTCGAATTATATTTATTGAACTAGTATTATTTACAATATATTCATAGCCACCTGTATCATTGAGTTTAGACGTCAGGTGGCCATGTTGGAATATGCATTCTCACTCTCTTTCGTCTTTTCTCTCTCTCTCTTTCTCTCCCTCTTACTAATAATTTTTTTGATCTATAGATTAATTGAGTTAAAACTTAGCGTTTTCTTCAGCTAATAATTGATAAAAAAAACTATAATAAAGAAAAAATACAAATTTTTAGTAGTATCTAAATTTATTTTTGGTTTTCAAAACAGTTGTCATTAAAAAGTTTTTTGAAAAAAAAAAAATAAATAAAATAAAATATTTATTTGCAAAAAAATTTTTGGATTATAGAAAAATTAACGGAGAATTATCAAGAATAAATATTTTGAAGAAATTAAAATTGTTGGAAAGAATTTTAATTTTTAAGAATTTTCGAATATTTTTTGTCAAAAAAAACAAAGTCGATAATTAAGAAAATATTCTTATTGACAAGTTTCAAGTTGGCACATGCGCGCGTATTTATTTATCCACCCATAGGTCCATGAGTGTATTTGTTATTTTTGTATAACCTTCAAATAGTTCATGTGTGTTAAATGTAAGATGTAAACATGTAAAAAACAAAAAAAAAAAAATACATCAAAACTTACTGATTGCATAAAAAATAAAATATTTGAGTTTATTACTGTGACAAGATAATTGAAAAAATGTGGTTATTAATTGATAGCAGTGAAAATATAAAAGAATTAAAAACCGGTGATACCATAATATTCGGACGTAGCAGTACAGATATTGTATTGTCAAATGATGCTTCAATAAGTCGTAATCATGCTAAGTTGGAAGTATCTACTATAAATGGTACTGAAAAATGTATTATTAAAGATGCAAATTCAAAATATGGTACTTATTTATTAAAAAATAATGAGGACGGCAAACCGCTTAAAATTACCAATGAAGGCTATGAAATAAAAAATAATGATAGAATACGCTTTGGTTTACGCAATCATATTTTTTTATTAATTTTTAAACCAAAGATAAAATATCACGCATTGATTTCACGTGTTCATGAAAATGATAAAAACAATCTGCAAAAAATATTTGACATAATTGGCGGGAAAATGTTGAACTCATGGTCTGACAGCTGTACGCATTTGACAACAACTAAAACAGGTATTACAGAAAAAGTTGCTTGCGCATTAGCATCAGGGATTCCGATTGTCAATATTAATTATTGGAATGATGTATTGAAAGCTCAGGAACAAAAATCAACTGTCCCTGATCCTACTAAATACATGCCGCCGCTGGATAATTCATTTTTAGATGACAAACAAGCATCTCTGTCACCTAATTCATTGCGCAAGAAGATTTTTGATGGTCTTGTTTTTTATCATTTTGAAACAAAACAGTGTGATTTGTATTCGACTATGATCAGATTGGCCGGTGGGCGATCTCTCGAGTTTAATAAAACTTGTAAAATAAAAGATTGTTTTAAGGATAATGTCATCATTGTTTTGCCACCAGATGACATTAAAACTCAGTCATGGTCATTGGAAAATTTTCAGAAAATTTCCATGGAGTTAACGCTCTATAAATTACGAGCGATTCCATCAACAGAAATAGCATTGGCTATTTTTTATTGTTCAACAGAAAAGTTTTGCAATCCCAGATTTAAATATAAAAAATTATTGAAGTCAACGAGGATATCAGCAGAGGATCATACTAAATCTCCGATTATTGCAGAAGACTCTCAGGGCGTGGATACTTCACCGAATATTTTAAAAAGTCAAAGGATCATTCCTGAAACTGTTCCATTAGATTCTTTAGTAACTGAAAATTCAGTTGGTAAATCACAAAAACGGAAATCGGAAGATAACATTGGTGCCAGTAAAAAAATTCAAAAAAAAATTGAAGAACATACAAATTTATTAGAATTATCTTCACGAAAAATTAAAAATACCCAACTCGATAGTAAGAAGAAAAATGATCAAGCTAATGATGAAATTCAAGGTGAAAATCAAGTTCAAGCTTCGATTAAAGAAGAAATTATTTTTTCTGATAATGATGAAATGGTTGAGTTAGCACAAGTCAAAAAGTCTGTTCCTAAAAATAGAGCCAACGATTCACGTGCACAAAGTAAGAAAAATCAAATGAGTAATGATAATGATCGAATTCAAGAGTCGACGATAAATAAAAACTTAACAGTTAATGATAAAATGAATGAAAAAACAGATGATTCCACAGCTAAATTACGTGAAAGTCTGGTTGAGACTTCAGCCAAGAAAAAACGTAAAGATTGTGCTGATGATGTTTCAGTAAATGATGATAAGAAAAATAGCAGTTCTGCATCAAAAAAAATTAAATTAATCCATAATCGTGAAGATAATAATAAATCAGCATGGGATATTTTATTACGTCCTTCGCAAGCTGAAAATAATTCACGTAACACCAGTAAGAAGGTTGTGAATAGTAAAGAAAATATTTTGGATGCAGAAGAAGTTCCAGATAGCGACGATGATTCTCCACAAAACATAATCAAACCACCTTTAAAAAATTTTGATGACAAAAATACTAAACAAATAGAAACGCGTGGAAGTTGGACAAATGAACAAAAAAACAGAAAAGAAAAGAGAAATGATGTTAGCATGAAATCTGGTTTGGTAGAATTTATTTTCATCAAGTTAAGAGATACTCCAAGTAAGCCAAAAGTGAATTCCTGTAGAAGAAATCAATATCGCATACCAAAAACAAGATTAAAGCGTGAAGACATGTACATGTGGGAGCAAGCAAAATAATTACTTAAGTACTATCAAGATTATGCAGATTTTAATATAATTATTTAACATTATTAATGTAGATTGTAACACAGGGTTGAATTATTAAAAATTTTTGTTTACCTTTTAATTATTTGTCTTTTTTTTTTTTTTTTCTATACTTCTAAATAATTGTCATGAATCTTTTTTTATTGAAATTCTACAGATTGACGTTATTTATCGATAATACTTTATTTTACTGTTAATACATGAATAATAACAAAAAATCCAAGGATTCATTTTAATATTCTTGAGCGGCCCTAAAGAAGGTAAATATTTTAATATTATCCGTTTTATTATTTGAATCTGTTAGACTGTAGAATATTATATTATATTTATTGAAATACGCCAGGGTAATAAACCAAAAGGCAAAAGCAATACATGTTTTATAAAATTTTATCACACAACATATAATAGATTTAATATGTTTAAACTGACAGATATTAAAACCCTTGAGTATTACATCTAATAATTTTATACATTGTTGGATTTTTGTAAGTTTGCTAACAAGAGAATTGGAAGGTAGTCCAGATGTCTAATTTTAGCGAATAAATCATCGATAACTTGCAAACAATTTTTCCTAATTATTTGTTTTAGTACTGGGAATTTCAATGCAGTTGAAAAATATTTTGTAACTTTGATTATTTCAATATCATTGAGATAATTATATTATATATTGATATTATTTTTAATATAACTTCTTTTTTTAAGTAACCAACACAAATTAAAGTTGAAAAAACACGTATAATTGCGTGAAAAGCTTCTATTAGTATTTTCTAAATGATGCTGAAATCAGCAGACACCTGTCAATTTTTTTAAATTTCATAACAATTAAATTATTAAATAATTGAATTATGGAAAAAATTCCACATGTAGAAATTAAAAAAATAATTATCAGTGGAAATTTAAAAAAATATACCTACTTATTTACCAAGATTAATTTATTATATAAATTAAAAAAATTTTTTGATGTTTGCTAATTTCAGTATCATTTTTTAATCATATAATATAATATTTTAGACTATTTTCTTTTATTTATACTTATTCAATCTATAACTTTTGTTATTGTTTACAAGTTATCATAATATGAACTACATTTTTTTTTCAAGTTCAAAGAATCTTTATTGATATATTTACATTTACAAGTTTTGTATACAAAATTGTTGCTTTATAATTCCTGTCCTAATGGACTCTACTTATAATTTACATTACATATATTTGTAAAGAGTATGTTATTTTTTATTCAATATTTATTTTTATTTTGTTTTTAGGAAAAATTGTTGTCAAAACCTAAATTAATCATTCAAAACCTTAATTAATCATTATGAACTACATTACTAACCACTACAAATATATTTCTGTTGATCATGACCAAGTTCACCCTTCACTCCGGTCTTGTTTTTATTTGATTAGTTTTGCCCGCGGAGTTTTATTAGACAGATGCATTTACTGCTCAAGTTTGTATTCTAATTTGAAATCATAGTTCTCCTGGTGAGCGACCTCTGGCGTTAAGTTTTGTCGTTACTAAAATTTTATTCTATTGTATTTATTTTATTTTATTAAAAAATCAACAACAGTGCTGTTTTGAGCTGTTAAAAGCTGAAATCCGTTGAATAGTTTAAACAGAAATGGAGCGCAGAGGTTTAGTTAGCAAAATTATAAGCTAACGAAAAATTCGCAATTACTAATAATAGTATATTTAAAACTCGCTTTACATACTCCACTTTTTGCATTTGATCATAGAATATATACTGTGTGTCGGCTCAGGTCAGCCGGTATACAGATTCGTTTCTTGTCAGGTGGTTTTCGTTCGGAGTTTGTCAATTTCATTCGTTATTTTTTATTTATTTACAATTTTTCCTCAAAATCATAAAATTCGTGTCAGTTTTATAATTTTTAATTTAATTTTGATAATTTGGTGACTTAAAAAAATTTTGTGATTTAAAAGTGATTAATATTATAATTATATAAAATTGTTTTAAAAAAAAATTGGAGTCAAGAAATTTTTATCTGTAAGTAATTTAAAATATTTTTTTTCTCCATTTTATTTTCAGGAATTAAGTCAAATAAATATATTAATGTTTTGATAAAAAAAACTCACACATGCACACATCTAATATATAA